CTAGCAAGTACACTGCAAAAACAAACAAAAAAAGTGTAAAATTAGGATAATTTACTCGGAGCAATTTCTCCAGCAATATACTGTTTAATCACAGTGCTCATACTGTATTATACAATTACAGTACTTTACTGTACCAGTCACTAAGACTGTAATATGGCAGTAACCAAATATCTACTAATTATTGCATTACAGGACAAACTAGACAACTGAAACACAAAACACTATCATGGTCACGATACCAAAACATGTCAAATACATTCAAACACGCACTCACTGACCACTTTACTAGGACCACCTCCTTGTATCTACACTCATTGTCAATTTTATCAGCTCCACTTACTATATAGGTGCACTTTGTAGTTCTACAATTACAGACTGTAGTCCATCTGTTTCTCTGCATACTTTGTTAGCCCCCTTTTACCCTGTTCTTCAGTGGTCAGGACCACCACAGAACAGGTACTGTTTGGGTGGTGGATCATTCTCAGCACTGCAGTAACACTGACGTGGTGGTAGTGTGTTAGTGTGTGTTGCGCTGATACGAGTGGATCAGACACAGTAGTGTTGCTGGAGGTTTTAAACACTGTGTCCACTCACTGTCCACTCTATTAGACACTCCTTGTAGATCCACCTTGTAGATGTAAAGTTAGACACTCATCTGATGCTGCACAGTTTGTGCTGGTCATCCTGTAGTTCTTCATCAGTGCTCACAGGACCTGGTTGGCTGGGTATTTTTGGTTGGTGGACTATTCTCAGTCCAGCAGTGACATTGAGGTGTTTAAAAACTCCAGCAGCACTGCTGTGTCTGATCCACTCAGACCAGCACAACACACACTAACACACCACCACCACATCAGTGTTACTGCAGTGCTGAGAATGATCCACCACCCAAACAGTACCTGCTGTGTGGTGGTTCTGCGAGGGCCCAGACAGGGTAAAAGGGGGCTAACAAAGTATGCAGAGAAACAGATGACCTACAGTCTGTAACTGTAGAACTACAAAGTGAACTTATATGGTAAGTGGAGCTGATAAAATGGACTGTAAGTGTATAAACAAGGAGGTGTTCCTAGTAAAGTGGTCAGTGAGTGTTTATTTGTGTTAAGCATAACATGTTAAAACAAACAAACAAACAAAAAACTCCTGTGAAATGAACTGTAGAAGAAAATATAAAAGCAAATTAATAAAAACTGACAGAACCTACAAGGAATGCTGGGAAGCTCCACCCCCATTTCTACAATATATAGAGGCAGGCTGCTCAAGACTGCACAATGTATCAGTCACTGTCCCAATAAGCTTGGCAAAGAACAGCTATTTACTGTAAAATCCAACTTTTTAACTTTCTTCCTTGTGGAGCAGAACATATTGTCCTTACAGACCAGGTCAGCAGGATTGTCTCTCTCTGTGAACAAAAGTTGGTGAACCAATACTCCTGTTGCAAATGCAGTGGTAGAATACCTAACTATGAAGTGTCAGCTACAGTATCTACTAAGGGAATTTATTACACAGCTTAAACAATCTATTACAGACATTTGGATTGAATGGACTGCTAACACAAGTTTCACACAAATGGAAGAAGAGAGGAAGACAGAAGCTACACAAAGCAGCTGCTTTTGTCTCTGCTCTCTATGATGCAGTTGATGAGGTGGTCCTTTGCTGTCAAGGACAAATTGTAAAGCTTTAGTGTTCATGCAATACATGTTATGTGTTTACATGAGTGTATAAACACAGGTAGCAAGCTAGAGAAATTTACATAGGTACCTACAACAGCTTGCATTGCTAAAAAAGAAAAGAAAGACAGACAGAAGTAGAAAAAGCTTTGAACAAAAAGAGGTTGGATAAAGCAAAAGGTCAAACCAGAGTCAAAACTGGTGTGGCTTTTCCAGCTGTGGCGAAACCTGAGAGAGTTGAAAGGCCTGAAAAGTGACGCCAAGGTTGCTATTTTTCTGTTGGACAGGTAGTTATCTGGTTTATTTATGGAAAAATGTGTTATTTTCCTAAATTATGTTGCCAACATTGCTAGCTACTTATGTAGCTACATTATGTATTAGTCCAATGCAAATGTTAGCTAAGACATAGGTGTAAGCTATAGCTAGCTGTTTATCTTGTTTGTAGTCTTTGTGTATATGTGTTCGAGGATGTCTACATTGTTTTGTGCAAGTGTTGTTTGATGGTATTTATCTTATGTTAGTCTCTATTGGCTTTGAATGGGACATTTTGCAATTTGGCTTTGAATGGGACATTATGTAGCTACATTATGTATTAGTCCAATGCAAATGTTAGCTAAGACATAGGTGTAAGCTATAGCTAGCTGTTTATCTTGTTTGTAGTCTTTGTGTATATGTGTTCGAGGATGTCTACATTGTTTTGTGCAAGTGTTGTTTGATGGTATTTATCTTATGTTAGTCTCTATTGGCTTTGAATGGGACATTTTGCAAATGAGGTGGTGTAGCTAGCTAGCTTATTTGTGTTTATCTGTAGTTTGGAGAAATTTTCAATAATATTTCCCAATACCAACAAACATGACAGTAAGTATTATCAACAGGCATTTTAATTATTTACATCCATTATAATAATGCTAAGTGTTTTCTTACATGTGATCGATACATGAGTTAGGTGGATACATTGATAAAAACAATGCACTGCACATCTCTTTCCAGCACTGTCTGTCGTGAGTAGTCAGGCCACACGTGTTCATGTGTTCTGGGGAAGTGGTTTTGGAAGGAGGGCAAAGTAGGGGGTGGGATTTTTTTCAAAAACTATCTTACAGTTCCTGGTTTCTTCAAAATCACCTACTCAAGTACCAGAGTGATGGGGTCCAATGTGTGATGTGTCTCAAGACTGTAAGGAATTTTCTCACTCCTCATGTTCACTGTTAGCTGTTCGTTATTCACCACCCATCTTGAAGACGGTTACAGAGCAATTCAGGCTAAGCCCAGGCTGATGAACAGTTACTTTCCTCAGGAAGTGAGACTACTGAAAAGATCTGCCATACATCCTGACCAGACTACTAACTCTTCCTGACTCATCTTCATCTCTTGTACTCTGTACACATTACTATACAGTGCACATAACACTTTATTCTGTACACCCTGTCTGCAGCTTTACCATTGTTATGTGCTGCTAATGATGATGGCTATCAGTGTGTATAGATAAATAAACACATAAATATACAAATCATTTTTGCTTTATTTTATTTTGCTCTTCTATTGTCCACGGTTCACTCTTCAGTCTCTATTCTAATGTCTGCTGTACTGTAATTAATGATGGTATAGTTTATTGTGTAGTGTTTTGTATAGCTTATTGTTTGTATGTATTGTATGCATTGTCTGTACTGTTGTCTACAGCTGCTCTGCTCTAAAGGTAGAATCGCATTAAGGAGGAAATACATTTAGCTCATTATTCAACATATGGCTGTGAAGAGAAGGAATGAAAAAGTTGATTTTAGCTTTAACATATGTTAATTCACTACATGTGGTACCTACATGGCCCTTATGCTGTCAATCGCAGCACCTAAAAAGGAAATGTATTTATTTTCTCTTCTGATCTAGAGTAGAGCATTCACTCAATATCTGCCCCTTTGCTCAAGACTGGCTTAATATACACACTGTAAAAAAATAGTTGGGTCAAGTTATAATTTTGAAGTGCCACATTAACTCACTTTCGGCTTTCAGCTTTGGTGAACTCCTATTCCCTGAAGTTAAGTTAATGCAAAATAAAGCTGTGAAATAAGTTACCTTGAAATTTTAAGTTGACGCACTAGATATAGCAAAATGAGCTCTCCTGTTGGTAAGGACTTCAGAAGCTGAATAGACGGCCTAGCCTATCAGCTTAACTCCTAACATAATTAACTGACAGTGGAATCAACCAATTATATTTTGAATTTCCAAAAAACTTATATTGGGATTAAAAATATTTTGCAACACATGCTTTACACATGCTTTATGCATAGCCAGAAGTCCTCCATGTTTGAACAGGTTGAGTAGATGAGAGGGAACAAAAAAAGAGGCTCCCATTGTAATAATGATTAAATTGAACAAACAAAATTTTCAGTTAATTTACCACAAAATGATAAACAATCAACTAAAGAACAATTGAACACAGTGAGCTGACTACGGTAGCAACAGCTTAGTAGGCAAATAACCAGTACAGTCACACATTTGACAGAAATTTCAGCCTATAATAATCATAAAAATAATAAGCCATGCACAAGAGATCATGTATGAAATCTATAAATTGCAGGGGTCTATAATAATAATAATAATAATTTTACAATTATTTGACAAACTTCAAATCCCACACCTTAAACTAGTGAGGCAGAGATTTCTGACAATATGTTATACTGTAATATGTGGCACTGTATTGTATGTCCCTGCAGAGTCATGCACTGTACTGACTGTCCACTTTCCATTATACAGATCAAAGTTCATTGGCCATGTTTTCTACTTTTTTTTTGTTTTGTCATCACTTGGTAGCCAATCAGAGAATAAAATACACCATCCATCAAATCGAATGAAATCATGGATTTAGCTTTTGAGACCTTTCAAAATCATGTTACAAAACCTGACTGCCGATGTAGCATTAGCTTAGCATAGCAACTTTTGAAATCCTTTGAAAAAAACAAGATGGGGGCTGAAAACCAATACATACTTTTAGAGGGCACATCGGTGCATGAACTCAAATGCCTACAGATAGCACTTGGAAAAATTCTCATAGATTTATACATACAGAATAAAGGCATGTAGTGAGCTTTAATAAGTTCATAAACAAGTGTATTGTTTGTTCTAATTTTTTATTTCTTTATTTTTTTGCATACTGTTTACATCTTTATTTGTGCTCAGTAACTAATATTGTTAGACAGCATTTTATCACTACAGTTCAAAGAAAATTGTGGCTACTTATACGCTTAGTCCTTAAAGGGTTAAAAAACATAGCAAAAGCTGTACAAGCCATTGGATTAACAAGCTGCAAAACAAGCATATGAGCTACATTGCATCAGAGGATACTGTAGAGCAATGTGAGAATGAGCTGATAAAAGATCTGAGTGTGCAGAACTGATAACAGACCATATGTACAACTGGACACAGGGGGAACAAATAAAGTGTGATTAAACAAACTAAACAAGACTGCAGTGCACCCTAAAGCTGAGACCACTAAAGCGAAAGTGTGGTGGGCAGCAAATGGGTCTGACTCAGAATGAAACTCTAGTCTTCCTGCATTCCTGCGCAGTCTCTGTGGAGAACAGCTGCAGTAAGTAAACGCTCATATCTCTTATAAACAAAACGTTTAGAACTTCTTCAGGGCGGACAAAGTACAATAATTCTGTCTGTGAGTAAAAGCAAAATACTCTTGTTCAGTTATTACTTGAGTAATTGTATAAAAGTACTTGTTTGTGAATATGCTTGAGTATCAAAGTGAAAGTGCTGTGAGTTGCTGAAGATATTATGCATTAGGTCTATTGTTTTGATGAAAAAGTTCGACTAAGAAGACTTGTGTGGCTGCAGATCTGAAGAACGGTGTTACTTTCTGGTTCCTGTACAGGCACCAAAATAAAACTGCTGCAACATTACAACAATGGAACAGAAAAGTTGAATACGAAGCTGACCAAGAAGAAATCACTTTCAGTATCATGGTGGTTACGACAGTCACTCCCAGTTGAATAAATCCCCTCTGTGATCTGTATCTCATATCAAACTGAAGTCCATCCTCTGCCATAAAATAAAAGCTTAAAAAAGAAAGGAAAAAAGTAGTAAACAGAAAAGCCTAGTGTCCAGGGTTTGCTTATATTGTCATAGTTACAAACACTGTGTGATCAGAACCACACACAGTCCTGATCAGGCAGACAAGTGGGGTTTTTTATAGCTTTCAGCTCCAAATTTGCCCTTTGGTTAATGATCAAGTCACATATTTAATATTTACAGTCAGTTGTTGGCAGAATTAGTTCTGTTCTTAGTTTGTAAAACAAGAAAACAGACAAAATAATATATGTTATGTTTGTATAATTAAACTCAGATTTGCATACAGAATAACATAATAATAAAATAACTATCTATAATGGCAGTGGTGGACAGTAACTAAGTAAATGTAATTCATTACTGTACTTAAGTAGTTTTTTCATGTATCTGTACTTTACTGAAGTATTTCCATTTTGGGCGACTTTTACTTTCACTCCACTACATTTCAGAGTCAAATATCTTACTTTTTACTCCACTACATTATGCAAAATCTGTTGTTCCTTTTGGCTTAATGTGTTTTGACCTGTTCAACGGTTCAACAGTTCAATGTCAGTGCAGCAGTGTTCAAAGCAAGTTTTTATTCAATTTAAACTTGTAACTAAGTTGCAAATAAATCTTAAACCAAAACTTTGCTTGTTTGCAAAAAGTTATTTCAGAGCCACTTGGTTCTACATAATGGAAATTGTTTGCCTTCAGTGTTTTGTGCTTATGGTAATTGAATAGACATCAGCGTCAGACTAATTAATGACATTCTATTAAAAGATTGGCTCACCAAGATTGACACTGGAGTATTTTCACCTAAAATGAGTTAATGAAGCAAGAGTCTTCTTACAAAAATGATAATAGGACATTGAAGTCATAATTAATCTTTAAGTACTTTTACTTTCAATACTTAAGTACATTTGAAAGCAAATACTTTTGTACTTTTACTCAAGTGGAGGTCTAAAGGGAGGAACTTCTACTTTTACTGGAGTAATATTTTACCTTGGGTATCTCTACTTTAACTCAAGTACATGATTTGTGTACTTCGTCCATCACTGCATAATGGTATTTTGTGCCCTGTGATGGACTGGTGGCCTGTGTGTAATGGTGTGTATAATTTTCATACACTGTAGAAAATGGCTCATCAGATCAACCTAAAAAATTACTTCATATGGTAACAAGCAATTAAACTCATTTTATTCAACTCAGAAAATGATGTTGATTGAAAGAGTCGTTGATTGAAAGTATTTTTTTTAGGTTGAATAAAACTAGTTAATATACTTCTTACCACATGGAGCCATTTTTTACAGTGTATACTGAAAAGGTTCTGATATAATCATCACTGGCAAGCATAGTAAAAGATTGATAGGATTCTCAGTTTTTGATTCTCTCAAACAGGTGATGGATGCAAAAGAAGGTGATTGTAATAAGGGTCAACCTCAGTCCAGCAATACAGCAGGATTTAATTTTGGTAAGATGCCAAAAAGATCATTTTAACTCTTTGTCTAATATCCTGATTTTGGAGGGGGAAAAGTCACATCGGGAGTACATTTTAGACTTCCAAATGTTATTGTTATTGTTAATGTTATTTTTGATTTTTTGATAGCATGGGATATTTAAAACAGCCATTAACTACAAGTTACTAATTTTTCAGGAGACCTTTCCAAAGTGATTACATATAAGATAATTCAGTTGAATAAGGAATGAAAGGGTCAAAGCAAAATGACTAAAAGCAGGAGTTTCCAAAACTGCAGTTTAAAAAAGCAGTTAAAAGATACAACCACTTGCAAGTCCTGCCAGACCACCAAAAGGGTCCCCATCAGACAAACAGCACTTGAAGTTTTAATTTTTGAGAGAGAGGAGAAAATCAAGCTCCACTCTTGATTCAGATCTGAAAAAAATCCACAGGTGTTTCTGTCCTTCATTCCAAAAAAAAAATCAACCTCAGCATCACTGAATGTGTTTGGGATTACTTGGATCTCGAGAAGCAGAAAATGCAACCAACTTCTAAGACTGAACTTAGGAGGTGTGGAAAAATATCTCTGCAGATTTCTTTGAAATACTTAAAAGTAAGAATCCTGGAAAGAACAGAAGCTATAATAAATGCAAAAAGTGGACACAGCAAACACTGAAAAATCTGATATTATATTTAGTTGTTAAGGCTCCTGTGTCAATGTCTGCTTTGTTCCTGATGGTGAACAATAAGTTACTTAATAAGTCTTAATGAGTCTTTAATGGCCACTTTAGCTGGAAATTAAATAAATGAAGTGGTCTGACTTGCAGAGTACATATATACTGATGAACTAAGATATGATCTTTGCAAGCTTCCGTATCTTAGATTGCTACACAAACAGAAGTGCAATCTTACAGGTCAAGCTTAAAACAAGCAATCCAGATAATGAGTAGATAATAAAGGGCATTTCTCTCAAATCATATTTAAAATTCCACTACATTTGAGGCCATAAATTCAGAATTAAAGAAAGTCATACTCACAGGTATGGGCACTGGAATATGTGTATATGTAATCATGTCTCCTTAAACTTAAGTACTGTTATTATTATTTTTAATCCCTTTTTAAAATGAAAGGATTTTTATGCAAATAGATCACATACAGTTCACTAGATTCAGAAGATATATATCGTCCCTGGAAATTTTTGAAATGTTGGAAATTGTAATGTTTCTGCTTTTCCTGTGGGATGCAATATTTAAAGCTACACAGTGAGTTTAAAAGAGCTCTATAAGTTTAAATTAATTTTGAGGCATTTTTTAACCTAATATGTCATCAAAAAAAAACTAATACTAAGTGTCTTTTCTTAAAACATCTTCAAACTAAAGTCAGTTTTGTTGTCTTAATGTTGTTATATTATTGTTAACCTTTTTTTTAATTACTCCTTAAAGGTTTTAATATCAATATTTTGAATATATCGTTCATTGACATTATAATTTACATGTATCTATAAAATGCCCAAAAAACTGATATCCAGAAATGTCCTTGACTTGAACTGACACTGACTAATATTATTTTTTATATTTATCAGGAAATAAACCGAAATACCTCACAATTGTAGCTGGAGAGACCCTGAATTCTCACAAGGACTTCAATAAACGTCTTCAGAGAGAAGTATCAGGTTTGCAAGAGGTGTCGGAAAAGAAGGAGTGTGATGTCATTCTGCTTTTCTGTCCTGTTGTTTCACGTGCTGGAACTGACATTAAAGCAGCTCTGAAAAAGCTTCATAATATTCCAGGTATTCTGTTGTTTTTTTTGTTTTTTTTTATTTCATTGGCCACACCAAATGATTCCTATTGTCATTTAATGTTCAGTTCAAACATAGTAATAGAATATAGTCACTGGACATGTTACACATAGTCATGAAGCCTGAAACCTACCCACTCACTAGACTCCCCAAAAACCCTACCCACCTACTATATCGCCCAAAACCCGTCCCGCTCACTAGATCCACCAAAACCCTACCCCACCAACTAGATCCTCCAAAACCCTGCCCACTCACTAGATCTACCAAAACCCTACCCACCCACTAGATCCCCCAAAACCCTACCCACCCACTAGATCCCCCAAAAACCCTACCCACTCACTATATTGCCCAAAACCTTTCCCGCTCACTAGATCCCTCAAAACCCTACCTACCAACAAGATTCATCAAAACCCTACCCACCCACCAGATCACCCACAACCCTACCCACCCACTAGACTTCCCAAAACATTACCTACCACTAGACTCCCCAAACCATACTCCCACAACTAGACTCCCCAAAACTCTACCCCACAACTAGATCGCTTAAAACTCTACCCACTTACTAGACTCCTGAAAAACCCTACCCACACCCTAGACCCCCCAAAACATTACCCACCCCTAAACTGCCAAAAACACATTTTATACTTGTATTTTTAATATCTTCACAGAGAGGGTTTGAAAAGAGGAATTAGCTCTCAATATATTGTAAAGTTAGATCAGGTTTTAATAATGTTATTTCTAGGGCTTGGTATCGTTTGAAAAAGTTTGATACCGATACGATACTTTTAATTCGCTATCGATACCTAAACGATATGTTTTTGATACCTTTTTTCTAATTGTGACAAAAATACAAAAAAGGAATAATTATTAATATGATTTTCTTTTTCTCCTGCATACCAGGCAGATATTAGTGTGTTTGATGGCATATCTCTGGATGGGGGTTGATACTTGGGATTTAATGCTTTTGTCATCTCTCTGAATAAATAAAAACACAGAGAAAAACATATTCACAAAGCACAAACTCGTTATTGTAACCACAATTATAGGTATGCCATAGAGGGATAAAACAAATGATCTATCCCACGTTTTCTCCCTAAATCAGGGAGATTCAACAGTTGAAAAGGGCTGCAATCCTTTAACAATAAAACTGTTTACTGCTCTGTGGCATTCTTCCCTCCTCTCAACTGATGGCCTTGGCTTCTCTGCTACAGTGAAAGGGGTTGTTTCTCCGTGGGCAGCCGCATTAGCAGGAGTAGAACTGGTAAACTGGCTCTAGCACTGTCAAAGTTCTCACCTCCAACATGAAAACGACATGCAAGTTATTAGGGCTCATTTATGAAACCTATGAAACATGAACTATATCAACATTACAGATACGTTCATGAGGTGGGTGAATTGTAGCCAGCTAGCTAGCTAATACATGCTAGTTTTATGCTAACGTTAGCCGAATCCTAATGCTGACAAAAGGCATAGTAACGAGTGTTAGTTTTCTCTGGCAAAGCGAGAAAGGTGCACAGTAAACCATCAACTTACTTGATGATATTTATCACTGGAAACACTGGTGTCTGCATGTGGTCGTGATATATTTAGCCCAGATTTTCCATATCTGGCAGGTCGAAAATTCTGCAGTTTTCTCGACTGATATTAATTCCATGTGTAATTAAATATTTCATCAGATTTGATGAAATGACAACAACCCTCATAAAACAGTGTAGAGACAACAATCGAGCCAGTCACATTTTTTTTTTTGCATTGGTAGTAAGGTTAACTCCAATAATCCCTCGTGATTTGCGTTTTATGCAAAGTATCGAAAACAGGCACTAATTTTTTGAGACTTTTCAGTACTCGCTACTACCGAGATGCTTCGATCGGTACCTTTTTGGGATCAAATTTTAGTGCCCAGCTCTAGTTATTTCTGTATGGTTTGGTTTCTGCCCAAGTTTTATTTTTTTTTTGGTTCATTCTTGCCAAAGGTGCAATTCTAGCAGGCACGGTATGAGTACATGTCTAATTTCTTTTCTACAGACTCCAAGCCTGCTGTTCTAGTGGTGCTCCATCACACATTTGAGCCAGAGTGCACTGTACCAGACAGCAGCAGAGCTGTAACCAGAGAGAAAACACTCACAGTGGACTGTCTGTTCTATGAGGATAAAGGACTGCTGCAGTGCAGGAAGAATGATGAAGCAATAGAGCAGGTTAAAAAGTGGATCAAACCTCAGGTATTTTTATATTTATTTATTCACCTAAGACCTTCCAACTTTGTGTATAAATGTTTCACTTGTTATGGCCCACTGGATCTAGGTAGCTTAATGAGTCAATCACATGAGCAGCAACAATGACAGAAATACATTGTATTCACTGTCTCACAAGAACATGTCAGAAAATATTTTACATACTGTGAAACAGTCATTAGAATTGACAAAATGTGACAAAAAACAGCCCAATTAAAAATAAAAACTATCAAAATATACAGTGATTTGTAGTTATGCTCTTTTATGACATAATACACTCACTGAGCATTATTATGTGTTGTATGATATTACAAGTACCTTGTATCTACCATTATTGCCCATTTTATCAGCTCCACTTACTATATAGGTGCATTTTGTAGTTCTACAATTACAGACTGTAGTCCATCTGTTTCTCTGCATACTTTGTTAGCCCCCTTTTACCCTGTTCCTCAGTGGTCAGGACCCCCATGGACCACCACAGAGCAGATATTATTTGGGTGGTGGGTCATTCTCAGCACTGCAGTGACACTGTAGGGGTGGTGACACAGTCTTGAACACTCACTGTCCACTCTATTAGACACTCCTACCTTGTTGGTCCACCTTGTAGGTGTAAAGTCAGAGACAGCAGCTCATCTGCTGCTGCACAGTTTGTGTTGATCATCCTCTAGTCCTTCATCAGTGGTCACAGGATGCTGCCCACAGGACACTGTTGGCTGGATATTTTTGGTTGGTGGACTATTCTCAGTCCAGCGCCATCACGTCATGTAATACCTGTTCTATGGTAGTCCTGTAGGGTCCTGATAATGAAAGAGCAGGGTAAAAGTATGCAGAGAAACAGATGGACTACAGTATGTAAGTGTACAACAACCAAGTACACCTATACGGTAAATGGATCAGACAAATCTTCAGTGAGAGTAAATACAAGGTAAATGTACCTAATAAAGTGATCAGTGAATGTACAACATGATAATGCTAATATATCAGTGTGTTGTAAACATAGTAAACATACTTACTGCTGAAATACGTCAATTTAAACAGTTTACTTGGCTGCCTAACACTATTGAACTGTACTGAATATCTTTTTATATGACTTTTTTTGGGCTTAAGCTTTGTTCCATTTTTTCAGGTGCAAGGAAAGGGAATGGCAATTAATATACTAGGTAAGAAAAAAGTGTACTTTTCTTTTATGTCATAAATATTTTTCCTCAAAAAATGCAGTTAAATGACTTACAACAGTTCAAGGCTTTGCAGGTGGTTTCCCTGATTTGGGAATACTGCGAAGGTTCAGGGGATCTCAAGATAATCATTCACAACAGGTGAGTATGATTACTTTTTTCCACTTCATGCTCTAAATAATTGTGCAGGGGCACAATTTCTATTGGTCCATTTATTAAGACATTTTGACACCATATTAGATAGGCAATGTTAGTCTGGCCCAGCCTTTAGTTCACATGTAGAGTGATCTGCCTTGAAATGACCACATAACAAACAGAACAATGAGCCTACACTTTGGAGAGTGAGCATTCCATGTTGTCCTCTTTTCCCCAGTCATGAATGACTGTAAACTCTCCTAATTCACAACTGAATGTGTTGTTTCAGGCAAAACATTGTCTATAGTCTGTTGTCATATGGCTATTAGGGACTAGTAGGCTATTAAACAGAGCATCATAATTATCTTGCCTTGTACATCTATCACAAGAGAGTCTGCAATGTATAATCTGACCTGCAGCACACCTGAGCATACAATGAACTTGTGCAGTCTACGGACTTTGGCCAATGCACATATAAGACCATTGTTATTACACAGTCTACCATAAGCAGTAAATGTGTTTGATTGTTGCTGGGCTGTACTTCGCTTCTGTGGCCACTGTCTTATCCTAAATATAACCTGCAAATTCTTATCAGTCCATATGAATATCCATTATACAGCCATTCATTTCCAAATCAGTCACAATTTTGGGTAGAAACTGCATAGAAACTACTACTACTACAGTAATGACTGTTGGAAACTATTACTAAAATGGTTCTAAAGTGATACAGAGCTGCTCTACTTATCCTTTCATTCACAGCCTTCTTTTATATGACTATTAGAAATATATCACCAATTAACAATAACTTACAATCCAACTTGTTCACAGCCAATTGCAGCATCTGGAGCCCAGATGAACTCAACAACACCTAGAAGTGAAGCAACAAGTGGTAAGTATGAGAACTATAACATGAAAGGCATGTTGTAACCATAGAGCGAGCTGTCAAGTGAGCCCAGATGTAATCTGTTTGGATATAAAACAGTGAGAGTACTTAGATCAGTAGGTCAAGGGCAGTACTGATTAGGGCTTGTATGTTTCAACTATTCGCAAAAGTTGACTACCTGGATAGAGTTCATTACTGGAATAAGGTGTTGTACAAAGTTCTAATCAATACATATTGATACAGTTCCTCTTGGAGAACACATGCAGTGGCAAACCTACTAGGGAATTAGGTTGCACTGAAACTGCACTCTGAAACTCCTCCAGTCCATGCAATTTTATTGTCTGGAGTGCGATCAAAATTACATATTGCTAGTGAAACAGTATCTCTAGCTAACAGTTAGTCTTCAAAATAAATGTGTTAGAAATACAGTTCCAGTTAGTCATGCACAAAATCAAATACTTTTTAGTAAATCAGGGAAAAGCATGTATTTTAACACTAATTCAGTAATATCTTCTCAAGTTAAAAAAGTAGTCTGGTTTAAGATAGCTGTTCATGTTCTATTTATATAATTTCCAGTCCAAATAGCCATCAAGTACAAGACATCAAAAAACTACACCTAAACATATATATATATTTTTTTTTTTTTCAGTATTTAGTGTGCCCACCCTTCTATTCTTTTCTGGATTCTTGCTCTTAATTTTCCAAAGAAATCTACAGGGATATTTTTCCACACCTCCAAAGTTCAGTCTTAGAAGTTGCTTGCATTTTCTGCACCTTATGACCCAAAAATTCCCAAACACATTCAGTGATGATGAGGTCTGGACTCTGGGGTGGTCAGTCCATTGTTCTGAAAACATCAGCAGCTTCTTTGCATGATTCTTTTGTGTCTATATCCTTTTCTCAGTAAGAGCTTCTTGACAGCTACACATTCTTTCAGACTCATAGGGTTGAGTCGTCTTCTCACAGTGGAAGGATGGACAAAAACACCTGTGGATAATTTCAGATCTGAATCTTACATGATTATCTCACGTAATCTCCTCAGAAACATCTCCTGAAAAATGAACTTGTACTTAATGGTTATTCTGACAGAAAATAAAATAAATCAAGGATGGTCTTAGACTTTTGTACAGCGCTGTGTCTTTTCTCATTAAAGATCATGTCTGCAACTTACCTTCTTTGCAAATATTTTATATAAGCTAAATGTGTTTTTTCTTTTTTTTTTCTGCAGAATTTAATTTTGATGCCTTCATTGAAGAAAATGAGAAAATGCAGCAACTGAGAGAAAAAATTGAAGAAGAAGAAAACAAACTGATGAACATGAGTGAGTATATGACTTACTAAACCTTTCGGTACTGTTTCTCTTAATTACTGTTTAAACATGATGTGGTAAACCAGTATATGAAGTCTGATGATTTGATGATCAGACATTGCTTTTCTGAGTTTCAACTCAGAATTAAAATGTTTGACTACTTTGGACATTAAAAGAATACATACATATGGAACACTGTAGTTGAAACGTAACAGAACCAACCAGACACTGGCAGTAAAATCAAGAAAAGAGGTATTGCTTGTAAATGGTTTGACAATACTCTTAGTCAGTGAACAGGCACAGGTCAAATCCAAAAAAGACAAAATACATAAAAGGACAACAATGTGAAATCAGAAGACCAAGATCCCAAAAAAGGAAAAAAGGCAAAGTCAAAAAGTCCAGAAACACAGTCAAAGTTCATAATAAGACAAAATAGCAAACAGAAAACGCTCAGTAACTCCACTAGGAGAAGCAATACCTCGTAAAGTATCTAGTCTAAAGCCCTAGGCTTATAAACTAAACTAGGACTAGTCACATTACAAACCGAGCACGTGAAACAGATCAGTATTCAGGTGATTGTGAACGGTGCTTGGTGGACTGTGGAGTTCCACAGTCAAGTGATCTCCCAGGGGGTTCTGGGAAATTGAGTCTTTGGGTAAGTCGGAGCCGGAGGGATGTGTGACAGCAGTAGTAACCCTGTAAAAAACCTTCTAAAGCCTCATTAACTGATTACATGTTTTGTTGAACTGAAAATTTGAAAGGAAAACATCTACAGAGAACAATCAAATTTTAGTGCACAATTTCAATTCATTTGCTAAGTTATGAGCCCATATTCTACATTATTCTTGTATTTTATTTTTTCCCCAAGGTCGACTGAGGAATTATATTGTGGAAATGGTCATAATTCATTTTTACATCAACATTTTCCAACTTCTGTTTATCCCTTAGAATGAAACAGGCTGTTTCTGTTACTGTGCCTTTAAGAGTGATATATGTAAAGGACCTCTGCTCTGATTGGCTTTCCTGTATCATGCCTCATTCAAAAAGCAGTCTGGGCTGAAGCACTCCTTATAACTTCAGTGAGTGGGCAGAGCTAAAGGCTGAATAGGTGGATATATGTAAATGTGATGGTTTGTATGACATCAGAAAAACAGTGAATTCAAAATGTGCTGTTTTTGCACAGTTAGTTTCTATATATGGACTGTATAGACTGGTGAGTGAATGGTATTTTTTTTAAACTTTATTAAGGTTTAAATACTATACTAAACTCTCAAAGTTGAGAAGTCGTTACAAAAATATTACCTGAAAATGTCGGACTTTAAATTTACAGTATAGAGTTTAGGCCCTGCCTGAGGCACCTCCACCAAAGTAGTGTATAAACTTGTTAAGCAAACTTGAATCTGGTTTAAACCATGTTCTGTACATTTCATGACATTATCACGAACTTTGTTTTACCTGACCTTACCCTGCTTGGGCTTTCAACCAATGTATATGTTGTCTTTGAAATCACTAGGTAGGGGAAAAAGTCATGCTGCGGCTTGGTGGTCAAATGTCTAGCTCCAATTCCAGTGGTCCTGGGTTCAAATCCCAGGTTTGCACATGAGAAGTGTGTTGGTACAAGCATATTTCTTGTTCAGCTGGTGATTTAATGCCATGTTTGCCATATTTCATTGCATTAACTTGAACAGTAACATTTTACCTGATCACTAGATGGGCCTCATTTGAGGTTAATTTTGCTTGGACCCCCGAATTGCCACTTACAGCTGTGTTTGTATGTGTTGTTTGTGCTCCAGATTTCTCGGAAATGATTCTTGCATCTGAACTGAGGCTGGTGCTAGTGGGGAGGACTGGGTCTGAAGCAGAAAACATAATCCTGGCACAGAGGAGAGGAGAAAGGCTGGAGATTCTACAGTGAGTCAGCAGAGTGAGGGTAGACAGACGGAGGTGTATAGGAGGCAGATGACTGTGGTGGACACTCCTGAGGAGCTGAAAGAGAACGTGGAGCTTATTGTCAGTCTTTGTGCCAGAGCGCCACACGCCTTCCTCCTAGTCATACCAGTGATGGAGTCTAAAGGAGAAGAAAAAGGGATGCTGGAGAAAATGGAGGAGATTTTTGGAGACAGATGTTGGAGGAACACCATGATCCTTTTCACTGTTACTGATGAAGTCCAAGAGAAGAACATTGAAGAGTTTATCCAATCAGGAAACCAGGAGGTCCAGAGACTTGTAGAGAAATGTGGGAACAGGTTTCACAGTCTCAACATTAAGGAGAGTGGAGATGGCTCTCAGGTCTCAGAGCTTCTGGAGAAGATAGACAAGATGGTGTCAGGAAACAAGAATAGATGTGACATTGATCAGATGTTTAGAGACATGGAGGAGAGAGAAGCAAGAATAAGAAAAACACGTCAGGAAATGCAAGAAATCCTCACAAAGAATTTTAAAAATATTGAAAATTATAAGGCTGATATGAAAACACTAAAACAACAACCTCAGGGTTCAGTGGACAACGAGAAACTGCTTACAACTGCAAAAGACCTTTATGAAATTAAAAACATCATTGGGGAGCGAATCAGACAAATGTATGAGAGAGTAGCTGGAATGGAGGAAGACAGAAAGTTCATTAAGGTCATGTTACCTGAACATCAGCATATTATATGGCTTTCAATGCCAAGTGGGCAGGAGGAGCTCAGAAAGCAGATGGATGATGAGCTAAAGAAACTTCATGAAATGTTCTTGTTGAATGTGAAGGACTTGTTGTCTTTGAAGAGCAGAAGCAGTGTAGAGACAGATTAAAGGTAGAGAGACCATGGTGACAATTGTAGCAAACACTGGCTGAAACTTTATCTCAAGCAGAGAGTGTTTACCCAAAAGTTAAGGGCCCTTTGGCTCCAGCATGTCTGGAATTGAGGTGTAAACCTGTTGGCTTAATACCCCCCAACCCCAGACTCAGTCAGATTTACAGCTGAATCAAGAACCAGCACCCCTCTCCCTTGACCTAGAGGGCAACAGGAAAACACCTCCCTGGAATATTGGCCACATGGCCCCCCAAAGTCCTGTGGACAACTTTATCTTTAAGTAACAGAGAGTACATTTCTAAGGTATATGTCCAGTCCAAACTGCAACCATTCATTAGAACTCTTTTTAACTAGACTAAACATACCAAAAGCGGAAATCTTACGACTTTGGACGGCAAAGTTGTAACTTCCTAGGGATCTCAAGCATGGACCCACAGCACCCCCAAGGGGTGAAACCGCGAATTACCACATCACCACCGTAAGGACTTGTGCTTATAAGGAACCCAAGAAACTTCTTGCTTTGTCTGCTTGATTATCAACATTTATATAATCTGTAAGCAATACTACTTGTGGTATTAATCTTGTTGTTGGGTAGTACCTAAATATTACCTGTATCTTTTTCTACTATTAACCGCTAGAAATACGTAGAGTATAACTTTGATAACAGTCAGACCCAATCATTTAATTGCTATGAGTTTAGACCATTGACCAATATGTATCCTGAATGTGGTTTTCTTTTCTTTTCTTCCTTTGTTCCTTTCCTTTTATTGTTGATTTTATTTTTCATGCATTGGGTCATATTCAAATATGATAGGCAAATAGTACCTGTGTTCTTTGACGTGTTGTGTATCAGGTAACAAGGGCTAAACTCTCTCTTAGAAACATGCCTGAATATCCTAGTTGTTCATTCCTTGATTTTGAAAGTTAAACCAATTTGATGATATAGAAATGCTTCTTTTGCTTTGTTTAAACTAGCTGAAACAAAGGAGGCAGTGATTCTGGGGAAGGCATTCCTAAAACTATGCATAACCAATCAGAGTTGGAAACAATGAGTAGCTAGTAACCTTAGGTGAGGAGAACCAGCACTCTGGCTCCACCTCCAAAGGGCAGGGCCTCCAGCCGAGCAAAACCATAGTGCACCGCAAAGTTCAGTTCAGATTCCTGCGTTCGCAACAAAAGTTTCTAAGTTTGTGCCGGCTTAGGTCAGAAAGACAGGTCAGAAGCATTAGGACGCTAAATTTTCAGATCTGAAACCTTTGTTTTGTAACTTGCCTGTTCGTCTACACACCTTAAGTTTAAACCACCCTCGGAGAAGGAAGGTGGATATTTCTTGTCTGGCCAGGGAGGATATATCCATAACTTTCGATTCTGCTAAAGAGAGGTAGTTAGTTAAATTAGTATCACCAGCCTCAGAACCCTGATTGCAACCTGAACCTCGCCAGCGAAGTGGGAGTGGTTCGGACGCCACGGAGACCCAGCATCGCACCCAGAGCCATGCACTGATCACCGACCATCGAAAGGCCGCCCAAGCTCCACCGTCAGACGGCCACGAGACGCCTCCGCCCAGTCACTGGCGGAAAGGCGCGTGCCCTCACGGAGACGCAGCATCCACGGCCAGCGAGGAGAGGAACCAATGCGTGAGCTCCAGCCTTCGATCGAGTCTGTCCTGAGACGACCCCTCCTGAAATCAGCCCCCGACTCCAACGTAAGCTGGAACCATCAATTTGCAGTCAGGGCCCTGATGCCAATTTATTTAATAAGATAACTTTTATAGGTACATCCAGCCATATAGTTCTTCCCGTCCAGGCTTAGGTTAATTCTCTAGAGGCTCTCCCAAGCGACTCCCCAAACCACACTGCCTCATACCGGTTAGCCGTGAATCACTCTAACTTACTCGAGCTATTTTGTCTTTCATTACTATCACTTTGTTTTGTTTTGTTTTCTGGTTTTATTTTCTATTGTTTATCATTGAATGTAGTCCGAAAGTAGTTTGATATTTAGCCAATAAATTCCCTTTTCTGAAGCATCCTTGGTGCGAGCGTTTCTCTCTCTTGCCCTGGTCTGTAGACTTCAAATAAATCCGGGTTACCTCACACCCTCACATAAGGTTCTAGTAATAATAATATTAACAATTTGCAAAAGCCGTTACACAATTTATATTTATAATGTATCTGCTCAATTTCACCACACTAAGATCAGTCTGTCATTGCCAGCATGAAACCTTTAGGGGATACAAAGCAGCTAATCATTGTTGATAGCAGTGTTTTAAAAGCTAAAATTTAGTCAGTTTGATAACTCACAGTATGAACAATCCAAGCCACAACCCAAGTCTAATATTCCCACTCATGATGCAACAGAAGAGCTACAGCTCTTATAACTAGACATATCATCAGCTAAGGTGGATATTATGCATGAAAATGTCTAAAAAAGACAAGTTATGTTTATTTTATAATTACAGATTAAATGACTGTTAATTGTAATGCTATGCTTCCTAATTTTATGTTGTAAACACTATTAAACTAACATATGATAGTTTAGATAGCATAGATGATTACAGAATTCCTTGATTTATTCATGAACTTGTATTAAGTATACACTAAACATTGGTGACTGTTTTCAGTTCATCCTACTCATTAAAAAATGTATTTAATGAATACAGTAACGGAACATTACTGTAAGAATACGCCATGAATGCTTCATGTACATGAAGTCAGGGGCGTAGCTAGATGTTTTAGAATGTGATGGCTAGATAAGACCTAAAGATGAAAGGAAAATCTAAATAAAACAGCATCACTGTATTAAAATGATGTGTAAATAAATGTGTTGTTTTTTCTTTATGCATAACTAAACCTGTCCACCATTTCCACATGGGAACATGAATGAATGAATGAATGAATGAATGAATGAATGAATGAATGAATGTCCTGTGAGGTGATTTATTCTTGGAATAAATAAAATGCGCAGACACATGCATAAACTCATTATTAGGGGTCGAAATACAGAAACAGTCCAGTAAATTACAATAATAGTGAAAATGACAATAATAGCAAAAACATATTGATTTGAATGTACTTAATCATTCTACCCTGCGACCCAGGAGGGTAAGCGGCAGTGTGTGTGTGTGTGTGTGTGTGTATGTGAATTATTCTGCAAATTATTAGACCATCTCTTAATAGGCTTTCAAAAGTCCATAACATCTGGCAGACTAGGTCAATCAAAAGACCTCCGTTAGATGATCTGATATTTACACAGACTATGCCCAAAAGTATCCAGACATCCCTTCTAATTAGTGAATTCATCTACTTTAAGGTTCACCAATTGCAGAATGGGACACTATGGAGCAGCCACACATGCCTATGGTCAATGCCAAGCATTTGCTAGAAGGGTATAAAGCCTCCCAGCATTGATCTGTGCAGCAGTGGAACTGTGTTCTTTGAAGTGATTGTGTTCTGTCCAATACCTTTGGGATGGGTTGGGTTGGAGTTTCTTATCCAAAACTGATCATCCAACACCAGTTTCTGACCTCACTAATGCTCTTGTGTCTGAATGCAACCAAACTGAATATATTGTATAAATCATTCCAAGAAGAGTAGACAATCCCTATTAAAGCAGTCGCTGAGCAAATTATCTGCAGTGGTTATTAAAATGGATACATCTTTATCACACAGCAGAGATTAAAATATTACAACAAGTACTGTGAGATAATATACTGCTATACAATGGGTGTATTTAACACTGTCAAGAGGAGTAAATTTCAACAAAACAAAACTGCAATGATGCTGCTGCAACAATAATGCACACATGAAACACAAACTTGAATATTCGTTTAAATAAATGTAAATACAAGCACTCATTTACAATATAGTTGACCTGGTACAACAGCTAGACCTCTACGGTCCTATTTGCATGGTTATAATACAAGCACATAAATAAGAGATATATTTGTATTTTAGTGATGCTGTACTGCAAGATTATTCAACAGTCAGAACAAATCTACGGTAAGAAAGTGAAAGTGAAAGAATAGTGGACAATAGTTAAACCTTGTGTGTGTTTTTTCACGGCTGCTGAGGGCGACAGTCTGGGTAAGTAACTGCTAATATTGTATTCTTCCAGTGAGTGTGTTCAGGACAGGCCACAGAAGATGTTGCTTATAATGAAGAAGAATTAAGGCTTGTAGGGCTTCATAAAACATGTTTCTGCTCTCGGCATGAGTGGCTCATTCTCAATGTGAAAGTAGTAACAGCACTGCGACACCCAAAGCTCCATTAGAGGGGAAAAGCTCTCTCTTCTAGCTCAGGAAACAGGAAGCACAGTTATGTTGTCAGCCTGTTGTTTTGGTGCCTACAGTGCTGTCGGAATGTTGAAATATAATTCCTCAGAAAAGTGACAGCTTTATCCGGCAACATTTCTATGAAGTTGTGACTTCATAACTCCCATTATGTTGTGCATAGAACTCTTTAGAACATGGAATGTTGGCGAGTTGCCAATGGGACAGATCAGCGTTGCATCACAATAACAAATCTTACTTCCCGGTGGAAAACGGTAGTGCTGCACTGATACAAAAGGATTTTGTACCAGTCCAAATACTTGTGTAATTGTGTAATTGAACATTTTCAGTGATTGTGTGATGAAACATCTAAATACTATGAGAGTGTCTACCTCTGCATATTCATTATTAAATACCAGCAAACTATGCATTCTTAATGTCGTCATTGTTGATACTGGCAAACCTGTGAGCTACTTAAGCTGTTCTGGTGCTGTTAAATTCTATTTTAAACTGATCTTCCAATGCTGAAAACTTCACCATTAACTTTTAATGTGTCACTTATTCTTGAGGCTGCACCAGCCATTCATTTTCTGTGTCAGCTATAAGTTATATTCAGTTTAGTGCAGTGGAGTGTCATGTTAAAGCAGGGTAGAGCTGTATGGAGCAAATCAAATATGCAGCTCTGCTAAATCAAACACATTTTCATAGATTTTGATGTCATTTGTATTGAAAACCTGCCGAAGTCATAAAAACCTATATTTCATTTACTTTCACTTTTCTTACTGGTGGTCTACACAAGCCAGGGATGGACAAAATCAGCACTGACATTTTTCCCAGCCTGGTCAAATTGAACCTGGATTCATTCATCTGAGTGGTCAGCCTTTGAAATTATGAGATGTAGAATATAAATCCCTGAAGTGTAACACTGACGGACTTTGGAGTGGAGAAGGTCATCATCTGAACTGACAAATCGGCCAGAGAACTTGTAGAGAGAATTACCACTCTGGAATGTCTTCCGGGTTTCTCAAAAGCTAGAGGGCGCTCCTGAGTGAGTCCAAAATGAGGGGGTAAAATGGAGCATTTGAGCAAAATCATAGTTTATAAGTGCTTAAACATTTTTAATGTAAAAGAATACAATTATTTCCTGAACAATGAATAGCTTAAAACATTAACACTGCTGTTTGTATTTTTTAAGACTCAAGTTAAAGGAGTTTAAAACAGTGCCTTATGTACATTCATGATGTCAGTGAGCGCAAACAGCCAATGAGCTGCTCTGCTCGCCAACCAATTAGCAATCAGTAGCAGTAATGCTAGTATTCTGCTGCCCAACACTCATTTGCTGTATGAAAAAGGAACTATATAAGTATGTTTTCTTAGCTTTTTTGAATAAAATGTATCCTTCTACTTTCTAAAATGAAAGGAAAGCTCTGGGCAAGTGATCAAAAACTAACTTTGACTTTTGTTTTTAGCTGTTGAGCTCTTTTTACCCCCCATTCATTGAGGACTCGCTCAAGGGTGCCCTCTGGCATTTTGCTGTAATGTTTTTGATTTATAAAGGAGCAAATTGGAATTGGACAGGCTCCTCATAAACCGGCTCTGTCACAACTTACAAAACGCACTGTTCTTTGCAGGTGTGCGTTACTGCATTACGTAGTTCAGCCAATAGAAATCAATCACTAACCACAATCACACTGAAGCATGGTGGAGCTCCAAAACACACCAGTGTTTTTTCTCTCTCTCTCTCTCTCTCTCTCTCTCTCTCTCTCTCTCTCTCTGAGACCTTCACATTTCATAAAGGCATATGGACCGTATTTCCCCTTAAACATTTGACATTACAGACTCTGTTTGTATTTACTGTACAAACTTTACTAGCTGCTTCTACTGCTGACTGGATGTGTTATCCACCCAGAAGTGTAACCAACTTTCATGTTTACAAGCATTTTGGTTTTGGTCTATAGAAAGTACATAGAAACTTATATATATAAACTACCAGGTATGTGCAGCAGTGCTTACTTGGAATTTGCTGGTAAATTGGGGGCAGTCGTGGCTGGAGGTTGGGGAACCAGCCCTGTGACTGGAAAGTTGCCGGTTTGATCCCCTTGGCTGACAGTCCATGACTGAAGTGCCCTTGAGCAAGGCACTGTCGAGTTATAATGAATAAATTACTATTATAATATTAGAAATCCATAATCATATACTAAAAAGTTGATTGACAAAAGTGTATTAATCCTCTCACTAAGGATAGGCCATGCTGTGTGTAGGTTAGGGGATTTTTGCATTGGAGAGTCCCTGGAGTTCAGAAGCTTCTAGAAGCTAGTGTACTTTGTTGCAAGGACAAGCTGGCCCGTGAGAGGGGAGGTAAGCTGATAGGGAACCAGACAGTATCAGTGTTGGAACCAGTTTAAAAAGACAAAATTGAATTAAAAACCTTGAAAGGATGGGTTCAGCTTAGGATAGCTGAGCATGCAAGTTTTTAAAAAATCAAGGACGTGTGCGGTCGGAAATAAGGGTTTCCAACTGAAGTGTAAGGATGGGAAACAATGGGAACCAAAGTGAAATGAGAAAAGGTGAGAAGGAGGGGCCGATTGCTTCATCGCCCCCAAACAGGGTATAAAAAAATTATGTTTCTGTATTGTACTTTGCATTTGGCTGTCCGGGAGCCATCTTGCCACCTGAAGCTCAATAAATGAAGAGGGCCTTTTCCTTCCTTCCAAAAGAACTCAACGGCTGAAGTCTTTTATTCAACTTTCTTTTATTTTTGACTGAACTTTATTTTATTTTGCGTTTATGATGAGAACAAGCAATCAGATTTATTAAAGAACTGAAATATAGTTATAGAACAGATTAGAGTTTAATTATCCATGTGTTGGGGCTCTGAGCGAGCGGGAATCGCACTTAGTCCCGGCAGCACCTAACCCCTAATTGCTCCCCAGGTGCTGTGGATAGGGCTGCCCACCACTCCAGGCAAGTGTGCTCACTGCCCCCTAGTGGTTGTGTTCACTAGTGTGCATGTATGTTGGTGTTTCACTGCACGGATGGGTTAAATGCGGAGGTCTAATTCCACAGTGTGCAAACACAGTTGGCTGATGGTTCTGAATATCATTATTTGTAGTACTCACGAGTAACAATTTGCAAGGTTAATATGTAAGTCAAAAGTACTTAATGTGAAAAGTGCAAGGTATATACAATTTACCATATAATGGTAAGTACTACAAATTGCTTCAGAAAAGTTCTCATACTGTGGTAACAGGTCTGTAAAATAAAGCATAACTACACAGTAACTACCTATTCTCTCATCATCATATGCAGAAATTGAACCAGATGCACTACTAGGTGCAAACTGGTATGTCCTCTGTAATATGATGGAAAAAGGACTGTAAAATGAAGTAACTACCTGTTTCTTGTCTTTGTGGTATGCAGTGTATAAGCATAACTCAAAACACCAGTTAATGTGGAATGAGACATGATTCTATAAGAAAAGGTACTGAGAACTCAGTGGTATGTAACCTATAATTTTACCCCTTTGTCACCTGTACCTGTAACCTACTTTTGTCTATCACATAGGCATGTACTGATTGAAGCAGTGTGTAGTATGTGTGACTTATATAAACTTCATAGCATTAAATGCTGAAATAGACCTGAGATTTCTCACATTAGTTTATCTGTACTTGCATATTATGCAGATGGTAATACTAGTAAGTGCATAATTACTACTTGAAATTAAATTCTACATAAATACTGCTGTACATACCTGGCATGTTCTCCATACGAAGAAAGTACCTCAAAATTACTTGTAAATACTACATATTTATTTATTGAATACTAGCTACTAAATACTGTAAAATAAAGTTTGACTGTGTTCACATGTAATGGTGGTACATGAAGTTTGAAAAGTCAAACCAGACAGTAGTTTTACAAGCTTAATAAAAGAATGCCTGTGGAAAACTTGTCATACTGTGCAATGGTTTTCCCCAATATGTTAAAATTAGCAAAAATACATATAAAATTAGTTGAGGTTTGTTCTGGGACATGTGTATACATAGAATGGTCTGTCAATTTAGTTCTGCAGTATCAACTGCAATCTGCAGTCCCACAGTAAAATTAAAAAAAAAAAAATGTATGTAACATTTAGATATTTATAAGATTGATGATATGCTCTATATAAACTCAGTGCATGAATTGAAAATTGTTTTTGCTTTTTTAATATTTTTGCAATAACTTTTTTAATTTCTTTTAAAGTCAAGTTGAAAGTTTAGATTCATGAATTTAATTTTTAACTTAGAACAAAACTTTTAAAAAAATGCTGTCCCATATTTTCATGTCACTACTGAAACACAATTTTAGTCCATAGGTGGGGTCTTATTTTAGCCACACCCCTGCCTTTTAGAGCACGTGAGACTGCATCCCTGTCCCTCATGGCCACATGGTGAGCAGTTAGATCTTACTGTTTTGAAGTAAATGTGTCCCAAAAACTGAACATCATTGTGGGTAACTGTAAGAATTGTCACATTTTCTGCTATTAAATAGACCTTTGTTTTAATATACACTATGATTTTATGTACAACCGTCCAAGGTTGTTTTTTATATTATGCTTTATTATACATACCATGAATATATTCATGTTATAGAGAGGACAAAGGAACACCATGGCCGATCCTCCCAAGGGTAAGCTTGAATTAATTTAAGAAATACCACTTACAAGCAATTACTCTTCCTTCCTGTTGTCTCCTTGTGCCTAATGATGTAGATATTTAAACATAATATCTTATTGCTTTATAATGGGAAGTGTCTGAATGTTTAGTTTTGAGGTTTTACATGCTGTCATCAGTCCTTTTCCTTCCATGCAGTGACTGAAGAGCTAAGGATGGTGCTTCTGGGTCGGACTGATGTTGGAAAGAGTGCAACAGCCAATGGAATATTAGGAAGTGAGATTTTCAAAGAGACTGAAACTATGAAATGTGAGATAGCGAGAGGGACAGTGGCCGGCAGAAACATTTCAGTGATCGACACTCCAGGAATGAACAATACATCACTGTCTACAGAAGAACTGAAGAGTGAAATGAAGAGATGTGTCTCTCTGTCTTTTCCTGGACCTCATGTATTCCTGCTGGTGATCAGACTGGAGATGTTCACTGAGGAAGAGAAGAACGCTGTGAAGTGGATTCAGCAACACTTTGGAAAAGGAGCTCTGAAGTTCACTATGGTGCTCTTCACTGGAAGAGAAAAAATAACAAAGGACAAATGGTTGAAATTTTCACAGGGTGAACAGATCTGTGATTTTTTGAGTAACTTTGGAGCTGGGCATTTTGCAATAAACAGAAAGGAAGAAATAAATCCTTCTCAGATCACTAAGCTGGTGGACAAGATCCAGAGCACTGTTCAGCAAAACATGGGTCAGTACTACACTCATGAAATGGAAGAAGCTGCCCAGAGAAAGAAAATAATAGAAAATGAGATGAAAGAGAAGAAAAGTGAAGAGGTGGAAAAATTAGAGACACAGGAAAGAGGGAGACAAAAACAGCTAGAAAGATTGGAGGTAAAAAGAGTGGCTGTGGAGGACGAGAGCAGACCAAACAAAGATGAATCAGGAAAAGAAGAAGCATATAAACATGTGCTAGATGATAGAGCTCTAAGCAAAGGAGAGAATCTGGAAACTGTAAAGAGGGGACAAACTGTGGACATCGTATCACAGGATGAAGCAGTAAGGACTGAGGATTACAAGGGGGGGAAACAACTAGAGAAAGACAGAGGCAGAAGGACACAGAGGAAACTGGTTAAGCACATATATGAGAGAAGAATGTTGGAGGCCAAATATATTCAATCCATGAAAAATTTTAAACGAAAAGAGAAGAATCTGAGGGAAAAGACAAAGAAACAAAGCAAGAAGACAAGAGCTGCAGAAGGAATTACATCTGATTCAGGTATGTTTAGTACTTTTTGAAAGATCGTTTTTGTTGGATAGCAGGATGGTTGTCAAGAGAGTACGCATCTTAGACTATTGATATCTTAGTAAATCTCTCACACCAGTCATATTGCATGTACAAAACAGGCTAAAACAGAGAGTGACTAAGTGAAAATGCACAATGTGCATGCTGAGCTGTTCCTGTTGCTCTCACTACCTTTTATTTGTCAGCATTATGATTATTAATTAATTATCTACACCAAGGTTTGCACATGTGTAATTCCTGTTAATGTTATTGATTTTTGTTTTTTTTTTTTAATGTTGACATTAACAGCATTAGGTATTATGAGACTATAGTAACTCAGAGCACTTAGTTTTATGTGTGAAATCTGCAATTTTTATGTGGTGCTATCACTGTATGTAGGCTATAGCCTCTCAATGTTTGATCTAAGGCCAAAAAAATATGAAGGCAAGCTCTTTCTCAAGTTTCAAAAATATTTTACTATTGCATCAAACTACCAACAAACCAACAAAATATGTTTATTCATGTCTAGTTTAACCAAAAAATATTTCCTAAGGTTTTATTGGTTTGCACTTTGATGTACTTTACTTTGTGCTCTTTAGTGTTTTGTTTGTTCTTTTGCTCTAAAAGTCTCTTACATTGACCAGTTTTCAACCTTTGCTTCAGTTCATTGTTGGAGCCAAAATACTTGTTTTAATGTTCTGTTTGAAATACCTTTTAAAATGAATTTGTATTCTAGTATCTTAAGTAGTTGCAAATGAGTGTTTATGATTTGATATCTTGTTTATTTGAAATACATTTTGTGTGAGTGCTGTCTATTGTACCACATATGTACAATGTTTAATGCAAACTCAGTACCGTTCATTCAGTTCATGTATTTTCATACATTGCAAAAATGTATTTGATAAATGCATTTGGAAAATACATTTAAAATCATTTTAAATATAATTTTAACAAATACATTTTTAGCCATTTTCATACATTGCAAAAATTTTTGACATACATACATACATACATACATACATACATACATACATACATACATCATCTAAACCGCTTATCCTTCTGGGTCACGGTGGGGTGCTGGAGCCTATCCCAGCTGTCATTGGGCGGAAGGCAGGATACACCCTGGACAGGTCGCCAGTCCATCGCAGGGCAGACAGACAGACATACACAGTCACACACTCACTCACACCTAGGGGCAATTTAGCATGTCCAATTTTCCCATATGTGTTGACATTTCCCAGTCAATTTGGTCATTTTTATTCCCAGAGTTTGTTCCTGCATCAGAACTCGGGCTGGGGAGGACTGGATGTGAGAAGAGAGCAGCAGGAAACACCATCCTGGGCAGAGAGGAGAGGAGCCAAGCTGGAGCATCTACAGTGAGGCAGCAGAGTGAGAGCAGACAGGGGGAGGTGGCCTTGGAGGCACAAGGTCCTGATTGCTTCTATCCTGGACTCTGTGTTGACAAGGTGAGACAGGACATTGAGCTTATAGCCAGTCTGTGCACTCCAGGACCCTGTGCTTCCCTCCTAGTCACACCAGTCTACAGGAGAGGAGAGTGTTACTAGAGTTAATAACAAGGGTGGGAGAGCTGCTGGCCTGTATCACAGAACAAATCTTTTGAGGGAATTCTCCACAGCTCTCTTAGCTATACCTTAGGTCTAAATCTGAGTCTTATAAAATGTAATGTATTACTAAACACAGGAAGAGAGGGAAAGAAAAGCTGAAGGAGACTGACAGCAGGGTTGGGATAGCTACTGAAAAATTTGTAGTTTCCCAAAATTTTTAGCTAGTTACAATTTAGCAAAAAAGGAGTGGCTACAACTCACGAAGCTGAAGTCAGTTTCTTATTTTCCTGCTTCTCATTTGAATTCTCCGGTTCCACCATTCCACCTGGAATGGGACAAATCGAACAAAAAGCTGACGAATGAGAAACTGACTTCTGCCTCGTAAAAAGTCGAACACTGAAAGACGTTTTACAAGAAACTCGCGGAAAAGGTTCATAACTGAGGTCGAAGGAAAGTGACTACAGCTGACCTAAAGATTAAAGCGGAGCAAAGTCTGCATTTTCCTTTCTTATATTTTTATCCTATACTGGCACATCAGCACATACTGAAACTTATTTACAGCCAAGATGGTAAAACAGATAAAAATACTTTCCAACCTCTCAACCTAATGTCATACTCCTATCATTATCATATTTTAGTATATTGGACCATGATAGCTTCAAGCTCATTTGTGATGGACAAAACTAAGCAACACTAAGCAATTGGTACTTTAATAATCACCTATAATTACTAATTTTCTTGCAATTAGTTGTATCACTCAATCTGGACAAGTAATGAGAGACACCCAGAATTCCTAGTAAGTTTGTTGATTTCTGTTTATTAGCTCTTATTTTTCCTCCAGACGTTTTCAAACAAACATGTTTATCTGTTTAAGGTTGGATGCATTTTACATGTTTTAGTTAACCTAACCATTAATGTGTTTAGTGCAGAGTGGTCAAAGTATGATATCTGCGTGAGTAAAAGTAGATGTACTCTTGTAAAGGTATTACTTGAATAAACATACAAAAGTACTTGTTTGAGAAAATACTAAGCATCAAAAGTGAAAGTATTGTGAGTTATTGAAGATATTGTGTAATAGGGCTATTATTTTGATGAACAAGTTCTACTAATGAGATCTAAGAGTGTGTCTATGTTGCTGACACCAGACCTAGGAGATATCTGGACCAGCAGCAAGTGATACACAGGCAAGGCAGTGGAAAAATAAGAGAAAATTAAATGTCTAGTAAACGTCAGTGCCCCCGCAACCTGTCTTTCTGAAGCACCTCAGCCCCACCTTCATCATCGTCTGTGCACATCGCTGGCAAGCATAGTAAAAATTATTTTTTATATTCTCTCAAACAGGTGATGGAAGACAAAAAGCAGGTACCTAAACCTCAAGTACAACCTCAGTCAATCAAGTGGACAGGACTTGCTATTGGTAAGATGCCAAAAAAGAGTGTGTGTGTGTGTGTGTGTGTGTGTGTGTGTGTGTGTGTCTGACATGTCCTGATTACCTGACTTCCAAATGATTTTTCATTTTTGAAAGTCTGTTTATGATGTGATATTCAAAACATCAATCAAGTACAAGTTATTTATTTTTAGGATTGTTCTGAGATGATAAGATATAAGATAATCCACTTGCATGAGAAGAAGAGGAAAGTCAAAAGAAAATAAGTGTAAAAACAGAAGTTTTCAAAACTGGAATTCAGTAAATGATTAAAAGATACAGAGAAAATAGGACTCTTAGCAACCGTGCAAGACCTGGCAGTCCACCATAACTGTCCCCATCAGCTAAACAAAGACAATTTTCAAATCAACCTCAGCATCACTGAATGTGTTTGGGATTATTTGGATTGTGAAAAGCAGAAAATGCAACCAAATTCTAAGAACTTTGGAGATCTAGAAAAATATCCCTGCAGATTCTTTGAAAAACTTGAAAGCAACAATCCTGAATAGAATAGAAGCTGTTATAAAGGCCAAGAGTGAACATAGTAAATACTGAACAATCTGATATTATATTCAGTTGTTGAGACTCTGAAGTACGTCTGCTTTTTTTCTGACGCTGAACTTAGTAAGTCCCTAATGGCCACTTTGATTGAAAATTAAATAGATGAAGTGTGGTTTGACTTTTGTACAGTATTGTGTGTTAATTATTATTAATAAATATTATTTTTCTTTTTTGATGTACTAAGATGATTGTGCTATAGAAAAAGCTGAAATAAACCCTTCAGATTAATGGCCACCAAATATGAAATATGTTATCTTTGCAAGCTTCCTTATCTCAGTTACCTACAGAAATAGAGGTGCAATCTTACAGACCAAACTTGAAACATATAATCAGATAATAAGTAGATGATAAAGGACACTGATAATAAATGACATTTCACTTAAATCGTATTCAAAACTCCACTTTATTTGAGGCTATAAATTCAGAATTAAAAAAATGTCATGCTCACATATATGGACACTGGAATATGTGTAGTTATGTGTCCTTAATTTTTTTTTTTGTGATCCATTCAGTTTGTTAATATAATTGTAATATATTCCAATGTATTACACTCCACCAAAAGTTTATCTATCTATAAAATGCCCAAAAAACTGATCTCCAGAAAAGTCCTTGACTTGACCTGACACTGGCTAATATTATTTTTTATATTTATCAGGAAATAAACTGAAGTACTTCACAATTGTTGCTGGACAGACGCTGAATTCTCATGAAGACTTAAAAAAACGTCTTCATAGGGAAGTATCAGGTTTGCAGGAGGTGTCTGAAAAGGAGGAGTGTGATGTCATTCTGCTTTTCTGTCCTGTTGGTTCACATGCTGGAACTGACATTAAAGATGCTCTGGAAAAGCTTCATAATATTCCAGGTATTCTATTGTGTGTGTGTGTGTGTGTGTGTGTGTGTGTGTGTGTGTATTCATTGGCCACACCAAATGATTCCTATTGTCATTCAATGTTCACTACAAACATAGTAATAGAATATAGTCACTGGACATGTTACACATAGTCGTGAAGCCTGAAACCCACCCACTCACTAGACCCCCCCAAAACCCTACCCACCCACTAGACTCCCCAAAACCCTACCCACAAACTAGATCCCCCAAAACTTTACCCACTCACTAGACTCCCCAAAACCCTACCCACCAACTGGATTCCCCAAAACCTTACCCACTCACTAGACTCTCCAAAACCCTATCCACCAACTAGATCCCCCAAAACCCTACCCAACAACTAGACTCCCCAAAACCCTACCCACTCACTAGACCCCAAAACCCTACCCACCCACTAGACTCCCTAAAACCCTACCAATCACTAGATCCCCCAAAACCCTACCCACCAACTACATACCCCAAAACCCTACCCACTCACTAGATCCCCCCAAAACCCTACCCACTCACTAGATCCCCCCAAAACCCTACCCACTCACTAGACTCCCCAAAACCCATACCCACCCACTAGACTCCCCAAAATCCTACCCACTCACTAGATCCCCCCAAAATCCTACCCACTCACTAGATCCCCGCAAAATCCTACCCATCAACTAGACACCCCAAAACCCTACCCATTCACTAGACACCCCAAAAACCCTACCCACTTACTCGATCCCCCAAAACCCTACCCACCAACTAGATACACCAAAACCCTACCCATTCACTAGACTCCCCAAAAACCCTACCCACTTACTCGATCCCCCAAAACCCTACCCACCAACTAGATACACCAAAACCCTACCCATTCACTAGACTCCCCAAACCCTACCCACTCACTAGATCCCCCCAAAATCCTACCCACTCACTGGATCCCCCCAAAATCCTACCCACCAACTAGACTCCCCAAAACCCTACCCACTCACTAGACTCCCCAAAACCCTACCCACTCACTAGATCCCCCAAAACCCTACCCACCAACTAGATACATCAAAACCCTACCCATTCACTAGACACCCCAAAACCCTACCCACTCACTAGACTCCCCAAAACCCTACAAACGCACTAGACTACCCAAAACCCTACCCACCCACTAGATCACCCAAAACCCTACCCACTCACTAGATCCCCCCAAAACCCTACCCACTCACTAGATCCTCCCAAAATCCTACCCACCAACTAGATACCCCAAAACCCTACCCACTCACTAGATCCCCCAAAATCCTACCCACCCACTACACTCCCCAAAACCATACCCACCAACTAGATCCCCCAAAACCCTACCCACTCACTAGACTCCCCAAAACCCTACAAACGCACTAGAACCCCCAAAACTCTACCCACCCACTAGATACCCCAAAACCCTACCCACCCCCTAGACCCCTCAAAATATTACCCACTCCGTAGACCCCCACCCCCCAAATCATTACCCACCCCCTAAACTGCTGAAAACACATTTTATATTTATATTTTTAATATCTTCACAGAGAGGGTTTGAAAAGAGGAACTAGCTCTCAATATATTCTAAAGTCAGACCAAGTTTTAATGATGTTATTTCTTGGGCTGGGTATCATTTGAAAATGTTTGATACCGATACGATACTTTTAATTTGATATCGATACCAAAATGATACTTTTTTTCAATACCTTTTTTCTAAATGTGACAAAAAATACAAAAAAGGAGTGATTATTAATATTTTCTTTTTCTACTGCATACCAGGCAGATATTAGTGTGTTTGACGGCATATCTCTGGATGGGGCTGATGCTTGGGATTTAATGCTTTTATCACCTGTCTGAATAAATAAAAACACAGAGAAAAACTTACTTACAAAGCACAAACACGTTATTGTAACCACTGCTAATTCGTGCTAGTTTTGTGCTAACGTTAGCTGAATCCTAATACTGACAAATAGCATAGTAACGAGTGTTCGTTTTCTCTGGCAAAGTGAGAAAGGTACTCAGTACACTGTTAACTTACTTGATGATATTTATCACTGGAAACACTGGTGTCTGCTTGTGGCTGTGATATATTTAGCACAGATTCTCCATGTCCGGCGGCGACGCAGTGCTGTTCTTCATGCAGTTGAAAATTCAGCAGTTTTCTTGACTGAGAATAATTCCATGTGTAATTAAATATTTCATCAGATTTGACATATAATCCATTTTGGAAGCCACTATCTTAAGATACTTGTTGCGCCTGAAACTGTTCTTAGTAACTTTTTTGAAGCAGAGCCAGACTTTCGACCTCGGCACATTTATCTAGCTGTGTGCTCTCTGCATTTCTTTGCGTCAGGGAGCCAGTCGTGTGTTTGTTGTACCGAGATGCTTCAGTCGGTGCTGTTTTAGTATCGAATTTCAGTACCCAGCTCTAGTTATTTCTGTATGGTTTGGTTTCTGCCCCACTTTTTATTTTTTTTTATTTTTTGGCTCATTCTTGCCAAAGGTGCAATTCTAGCAGGCAGGGTATAAGTACATGTCTAATTTCTTTTCTACAGACTCTGCAGACTTCAAGCCTGCTGTTGTAGTGGTGCTCCATCACACATTTAACCCAGACAGCACTGTACCAGACAGCAGCAGAGCCGTAACCAGAGAGAAAACACTCACAGTGGACTGTCTGTTCTATGAGGATAAAGGACTGCTGCAGTGCAGTACAAATGATAAAGCAATAGAGCAGGTTAAAAAGTGGATAAAACCTCAGGTATTTTTATATTTATTTATTCACCTAAGACCTTCTAACTTTGTGTATAAATGTTTCACTTGTTATGGCCCACTGGATCTAGGTAGCTTAATGAGTCAATCACATGAGCAGCAACAATGACAGAAATACATTGTATTCACTGTCTCACAAGAACATGTCAGAAAATATTTTACATACAGTGAAACAGTCATTAGAATTGACAAAATGTGACAAAAAACAGCCCAATTAAAAATAAAAACTATCAAAAAGTACAAGTACAGTGATTTTTAGTTATGCTCTTTTATGACATAATACACTCACTGAGCACTTTATTAGGTACAACTACCTTGTATCTACCATTATTGCCCATTTTATCAGCTCCACTTACTATATAGGTGCACTTTGTAGTTCTACAGTTACAGACTGTAGTCCATCTGTTTCTCTGCATACTTTGTTAGCCCCCTTTTACCCTGTTCCTCAGTGGTCAGGACCCCCATGGACCACTACAGAGCAGATATTATTTGGGTGGTGGGTCATTCTCAGCACTGCAGTGACACTGTGGCGGTGGTGATACAGTTGTGGACACTCACTGTCCACTCTATTAGACACTCCTACCTTGTTGGTCCACCTTGTAGATGTAAAATCAGAGACAGCAGCTCATCTGCTGCTGCACAGTTTGTGTTGATCATCCTTTAGTCCTTCATCAGTGGTCACAAGATGCTGCCCACAGGACACTGTTGGCTGGATATTTTTGGTTGGTGGACTGTTCTCAGTCCAGCGCCACCACGTCATGTAATACCTGTTCTATGGTAGTCCTGTAGGGGTCCTGATAATGAAAGAGCAGGGTAAAAGTATGCAGAGAAACAGATGGACTACAGTATGTAAGTGTACAACAACCAAGTACACCTATACGGTGAATGGATCAGACAAATCTTCAATGAGAGTAAATACAAGGTAAATGTACCTAATAAAGTGATCAGTGAATGTACAACATGATAATGCTAATATATCAGTGTGTTGCAGCCCTATATTGTGAATATTGTCCAATTGCTGTTGATGGAATTTATCAAATCCATGTAATCTCCGTAAACACACTTACTGCTGAAATACGTCAATTTAAACAGTTTACTTGGCTGCCTAACACTATTGAACTGTACTGAATATCTTTTTATAGGACTTTTTTTGGGCTTAAGCTTTGTTCCATTTTTTCAGGTGCAAGGAAAGGGAATGGCAATTAATATACTAGGTAAGAAAAAAGTGTACTTTTCTTTTATGTCATAAATATTTTTCCTCAAAAAATGCAGTTAAATGACTTACAACAGTTCAAGGCTTTGCAGGTGGTTTCCCTGATTTGGGAATACTGCGATGGTTCAGGGGATCTCAAGATAATCATTCACAACAGGTGAGTATGATTACTTTTTTCCACTTCATGCTCTAAATAATTGTGCAGGGGCACAATTTCTATTGGTCCATTTATTAAGACATTTTGACACCATATTAGATAGGCAATGTTAGTCTGGCCCAGCCTTTAGTTCACATGTAGAGTGATCTGCCTTGAAATGACCACATAACAAACAGAACAATGAGCCTACACTTTGGAGAGTGAGCATTCCATGTTGTCCTCTTTTCCCCAGTCATGTATGACTGTAGACTCTCCTAATTCACCACTGAATGTATTGTTTCAAGCAAAACACTGTCTATAGTCTGTTGTCATATGGCTATTAGGGACTAGTAGGCTATTAAGCAGAGCATCATAATTATCTTGCCTTGTACATCTATCACAAGAGAGTCTGCAATGTATAATCTGACCTGCAGCACACCTGAGCATACAATGAACTTGTGCAGTCTGCTGTGGACTTATGCACATATAAGACCATTGCTATTACACAGTCTACCATAAGCAGTAAATGTGTTTGATTGTTGCTGGGCTGTACTTCGCTTCTGTGGCCACTGTCTTATCCTAAATATAACCTGCAAATTCTTATCAGTCCATATGAATATCCATTATACAGCCATTCATTTCCAAATCAGTCACAATTTTGGGTAGAAACTGCATAGAAACTACTACTACTACTACTACAGTAATGACTGTTGGAAACTATTACTAAAATGGTTCTAAAGTGATACAGAGCTGCTCTACTCATGCTCACATTCACAGCCTTCTTTTATATGACTATTAGAAACATATCACCAATTAACAATAACTTACAATCCAACTTGTTCACAGCCAATTGCAGCATCTGGAGCCCAGATGAATTCAACAACACCTAGAAGTGAAGCAACAAGTGGTAAGTATGAGAACTATAACATGAAAGGCATGTTGTAACCATAGAGCGAACTGTCAAGTGAGCCCAGGTGTAATCTGTTTGGATATAAAACAGTGAGAGTACTTAGATCAGTAGGTCAAGGGCAGTACTGTTCAGGGCTTGTATGTTTCAACTATTCACAAAAGTTGACTACCTGGATAGAGTTCATTACTGGAATAAGGTGTTGTACAAAGTTCTAATCAATACATATTGATACAGTTCCTCTTGGAGAACACATGCAGTGGCAAACCTACTAGGGAAGTAGCTAGAAATACAGTTCCAGTTAGTTTTTTACTAATACTGTTATATTTTAACACTAATTCAGTAATATCTTCTCAAGTTAAAAAAGTAGTCTGGTTTAACCTAAACATATATGTGTGTGTTTTCAGTATTTAGTGTGCCCACGCTTCTATTCTTTTCTGGATTCTTGCTCTTAATTTTCCAAAGAAATCTACAGGGATATTTTTCCACACCTCCAAAGTTCAGTCTTAGAAGTTGCTTGCATTTTCTGCACCTTATGACCCAAAAATTCCCAAACACATTCAGTGATGTTGAGGTCTGGACTCTGGGGTGGTCAGTCCATTGTTCTGAAAACATCAGCAGCTTCTTTGTATGATTCTTTTGTGTCTATATCCTTTTCTCAGTAAGAGCTTCTTGACAGCTACACATCCTTTCAGACTCATAGGGTTGAGTTGTCTTCTCACAGTGGAAGGATGGACAAAAACACCTGTGGATAATTTCAGATCTGAATCTTATATGATTATCTCACGTAATCTCCTCAGAAACATCTCCTGAAAAATGAACTTGTACTTAATGGTTATTATGACAGGAAATAAAATAAATGAAGGATGGTCTTAGACTTTTGTACAGCGCTGTGTCTTTTCTCATTAAAGATCATGTCTGCAACTTACCTTCTTTGCAAATATTTTATATAAGCTAAATGTGTTTTTTCTTTTTTTTTTTCTGCAGAATTTAATTTTGATGCCTTCATTGAAGAAAATGATAAAATGCAGCAACTGAAAGAAAAAATTGAAGAAGAAGAAAACAAACTGATGAACATGAGTGAGTATATGACTTTCTAAACCTTTCGGTACTGTTTCTCTTAATTACTGTTTAAACATGATGTGGTAAACTAGTATATGAAGTCTGATGATTTGATGATCAGACATTGCTTTTCTGAGTTTCAACTCAGAATTAAAATGTTTGATTTCTTTGGACATTAAAAGAACACATACATATGGAACACTGTAGTTGAAACGTAACAGAACCAGCCAGACGCTGGCAGTAAAATCAAGAAAAGAGGTATTGCTTGTAAATGGTTTGACAATACTCGTAGTCAGTGAACAGGCACAGGCCAAATCCAAAAAAGACAAAATACATAAAAGGACAACAATGTGAAATCAGAAGACCAAGATCCCAAAAAAGGAAAAAAGGCAAAGTCAAAAAGTCCAGAAACACAGTCAAAGTTCATAATAAGACAAAATAGCAAACAGAAAACGCTCAGTAACTCCACTAGGAGAAGCAATACCTCGTAAAGTATCTAGTCTAAAGCCCAGGCTTATAAACTAAACTAGGACTAGTCACATTACAAACCGAGCAGGTGAAACAGATCAGTATTCAGGTGATTGTGAACGGTGCTTGGTGGACTGTGGAGTTCTACAGTCAAGTGATCTCCCAGGGGGTTCTGGGAAATTGAGTCTTTGGGTAAGTCGGAGCCGGAGGGATGTTTGACAGCAGTAGTAACCCTGTAAAAAACCTTCTAAAGCCTCATTAACTGATTACATGTTTTGTTGAACTGAAAATTTGAAAGGAAAACATCTACAGAGAACAGTCAAATTTTAGTGCACAATTTCAATTCATTTGCTAAGTTATGAGCCCATATTCTACATTATTCTTGTATTTTATTTTTTCCCCAAGGTCGACTGAGGAATTATATTGTGGAAATGGTCATAATTCATTTTTACATCAACATTTTCCAACTTCTGTTTATCCCTTAGAATGAAACAGGCTGTTTCTGTTACTGTGCCTTTAAGAGTGATATATGTAAAGGACCTCTGCTCTGATTGGGCTTTCCTGTATCATAGCCTCATTCAAAAGCAGTCTGGGCTGAAGCACTCCTTATAACTTCAGTGAGTGGGCAGAAAGGCTGAATAGGTGGATATATGTAAATGTGATGGTTTGTATGACATCAGAAAAACAGTGAATTCAAAATGTGCTGTTTTTGCAACTTAGTTTCTATATATGGACTGTATAGACTGGTGAGTGAATGTTATTTTTTTTTAAAGTTTATTAAGGTTTAAATACTATACCAAACTCTTTCATTTTAAAAAAGAGAGGAAAATTGTTTTGAACAGACAACATTATTATTATTCAAAGTTGAGAAGTCATTACAAAAATATTACCTGAAAATGTCGGACTTTAAATTTACAGTATAGAGTTTAGGCCCTGCCTGAGGCACCTCCACCAAAGTAGTGTATAAACTTGTTAAGCAAACTTGAATCTGGTTTAAACCATGTTCTGTACATTTCATGACATTATCACGAACTTTGTTTTACCTGACCTCACCCTGCTTGGGCTTTCAACCAATGTATATGTTGTCTTTGAAATCACTAGGTAGGGGAAAAAGTCATGCTGCGGCTTGGTGGTCAAATGTCTAGCTCCAATTCCAGTGCTCCTGGGTTCAAATCCCAGGTTTGCACATGAGAAGTGTGTTCGTACAAGCATTTTTCTTGTTCAGCTGGTGATTTAATGCCATGTTTGCCATATTTCATTGCATTAACTTGAACAGTAACATTTTACCTGATCACTAGATGGGCCTCATTTGAGGTTAATTTTGCTTGGACCCCTGAATTGCCACTTACAGCTGTGTTTGTATGTGTTGTTTGTGCTCCAGATTTCTCGGAAATGATTCTTGCATCTGAACTGAGGCTGGTACTAGTGGGGAGGACTGGGTCTGAAGCAGAAAACATAATCCTGGGCACAGAGGAGAGGAGAAAGGCTGGAGATTCTACAGTGAGGCAGCAGAGTAAGGGGAAAAAGGGGGTGGTGTATGGGAGGCAGGTGACTGTGGTGGACACTCCTGAGGAGCTGAAAGAGAACGTGGAGCTTATTGTCAGTCTTTGTGCCAGAGCGCCACACGCCTTCCTCCTAGTCATACCAGTGATGGAGTCTAAAGGAGAAGAAAAAGGGATGCTGGAGAAAATGGAGGAGATTTTTGGAGTCAGATGTTGGAGGAACACCATGATCCTTTTCACTGTTACTGATGAAGTCCAAGAGAAGAACATTGAAGAGTTTATCCAATCAGGAAACCAGGAGGTCCAGAGACTTGTAGAGAAATGTGGGAACAGGTTTCACAGTCTCACATTAAGGAGAGTGGAGATGCTCTCAGGTCTCAGAGCTTCTGGAGAAAGATAGACAAGATGGTGTCAGGAAACAAGATAGATGTGACATTGATCAGATGTTTAGAGACATGGAGGAGAGAGAAGCAAGAATAAGAAAAACACGTCAGGAAATGCAAGAAATCCTCACAAAGAATTTTAAAAATATTGAAAATTATAAGGCTGATATGAAAACACTAAAACAACAACCTCAGGGTTCAGTGGTCAACGAGAAACTGGTTACAACTGCAAAAGACCTTTGTGAAATTAAAAACATCATTGGGGAGCGAATCAGACAAATGTATGAGAGAGTAGCTGGAATGGAGAAAGACAGAAATTCATTAAGTCACGTCACCTGAACATCAGCGTATAATATGGCTTTCAATGCCAAGTGGGCAGGAGGAGCTCAGAAAGCAGATGGATGATGAGCTAAAGAAACTTCATGAAATGTTCTTGTTGAATGTGAAGGACTTGTTGTCTTTGAAGAGCAGAAGCAGTGTAGAGACAGATTAAAGGTAGAGAGACCATGGTGACAATTGTAGCAAACACTGGCTGAAACTTTATCTCAAGCAGAGAGTGTTTACCCAAAAGTTAAGGGCCTTGGCTCCAGCATGTCTGGAATTGAGGTGTAACCTGTTGGCTATACCCCCAACCCCAGACTCAGTCAGATTTACAGCTGAATCAAGAACCAGCACCCCTCTCCCTTGACCTAGAGGGCAACAGGAAAACACCTCCCTGGAATATTGGCCACATGGCCCCCCAAAGTCCTGTGGACAACTTTATCTTTAAGTAACAGAGAGTACATTTCTAAGGTATATGTCCAGTCCAAACTGCAACCATTCATTAGAACTCTTTTTAATAGACTAAACATACAAAAAGCGGAAATCTTACGACTTTGGACGGCAAAGTTGTAACTTCCTAGGGATCTCAAGCATGGACCCACAGCACCCCCAAGGGGTGAAACCGCGAATTACCACATCACCACCGTAAGGACTTGTGCTTATAAGGAACCCAAGAAACTTCTTGCTTTGTCTGCTTGATTATCAACATTTATATAATCTGTAAGCAATACTACTTGTGGTATTAATCTTGTTGTTGGGTAGTACCTAAATATTACCTGTATCTTTTTCTACTATTAACCGCTAGAAATACGTAGAGTATAACTTTGATAACAGTCAGACCCAATCATTTAATTGCTATGAGTTTAGACCATTGACCAATATGTATCCTGAATGTGGTTTTCTTTTCTTTTCTTCCTTTGTTCCTTTCCTTTTATGTTGATTTTATTTTTCATGCATTGGGTCATATTCAAATATGATAGGCAAATAGTACTGTGTTCTTTGACGTGTTGTGTATCAGGTAACAAGGGCTAAAACTCTCTCTAGAAACATGCCGGAATATCCTAGTTGTTCATTCCTTGATTTTGAAAGTTAAACCAATTTGATGATATAGAAATGCTTCTTGGCTTTGTTTAAACTGCTGAAACAAAGGAGGCAGTGAGTCTGGGGAAGGCATTCCTAAAACTATGCATAACCAATCAGAGTTGGAAAAAATGAGTAGCTAGTAACCTTAGGTGAGGAGAACAGCACTCTGGCTCCACCTCCAAAGGGCAGGGCCTCCAGCCGAGCAAAACCATAGTGCACCGCAAAGTTCAGTTCAGATTCCTGCGTTCGCAACAAAAGTTTCTAAGTTTGTGCCGGCTTAGGTCAGAAAGACAGGTCAGAAGCATTAGGACGCTAAATTTTCAGATCTGAAACCTTTGTTTTGTAACTTGCCTGTTCGTCTACACACCTTAAGTTTAAACCACCCTCGGAGAAGGAAGGTGGATATTTCTTGTCTGGCCAGGGAGGATATATCCATAACTTTCGATTCTGCTAAAGAGAGGTAGTTAGTTAAATTAGTATCACCAGCCTCAGAACCCTGATTGCAACTGAACCTCGCAGCGAAGTGGGAGTGTTCGGACGCCACGGAGACCAGCATCGCACCAGAGCCATGCACTGATCACCGACCATCGAAAGGCCGCCCAAGCTCCACCGTCAGGACGGCCACGAGACGCCTCCGCCCACAGTCACTGGCGGAAAGGCGCGTGCCCTCACGGAGACGCAGCATCCACGGCCAGCGAGAGAGGAACCAATGCAGTGAGCTCCAGCCTTCGATCGAGTCTGTCCTGAGAAGACCCTCCTGAAATCAGCCCCCGACTCCAACGTAGCTGTGAACCATCAATTTGCAGTCAGGCGCCCTGATGCCAATTTATTTAATAAGATAACTTTTATAGGTACATCCAGCCATATAGTTCTTCCCGTCCAGGCTTAGGTTAATTCTCTAGAGGCTCTCCCAAGCGACTCCCCAAACCACACTGCCTCATACCGGTTAGCCGTGAATCACTCTAACTTACTCGAGCTATTTTGTCTTCATTACTATCACTTTGTTTTGTTTTGTTTTCTGTTTTATTTTCTATTGTTTATCATTGATGTAGTCCGAAAGTAGTTTGATATTTAGCCAATAATTCCCTTTTCTGAAGCATCCTTGGTGCGAGCGTTTCTCTCTCTTGCCCTGGTCTGTAGACTTCAAATAAATCCGGGTTACCTCACACCCTCACATAAGGTTCTAGTAATAATAATATTAAAAATTTGCAAAAGCCGTTACACAATTTATATTTATAATGTATCTGCTCATTTTCACCACACTAAGATCAGTCTGTCATTGCCAGCATGACACCTTTAGGGGATACAAAGCAGCTAATCATTGTTGATAGCAGTGTTTACAAGCTAAATTAGTCAGTTTGATAACTCACAGTATGACAATCCAAGCCACACCAAGTCTAATATTCCCACTCATGATGCAACAGAAGAGCTACAGCTCTTATAACTAGACATATCATCAGCTAAGGTGGATATTATGCATGAAAATGTCTAAAAAAGACAAGTTATGTTTATTTTATAATTACAGATTAAATGACTGTTAATTGTAATGCTATGCTTCCTAATTTTATGTTGTAAACACTATTAAACTAACATATGATAGTTTAGATAGCATAGATGATTACAGAATTCCTTGATTTATTCATGAACTTGTATTAAGTATACACTAAACATTGGTGACTGTTTTCAGTTCATCCTACTCATTAAAAAATGTATTTAATGAATACAGTAACGGAACATTACTGTAAGAATACGCCATGAATGCTTCATGTACATGAAGTCAGGGGCGTAGCTAGATGTTTTAGAATGTGATGGCTAGATAAGACCTAAAGATGAAAGGAAAATCTAAATAAAACAGCATCACTGTATTAAAATGATGTGTAAATAAATGTGTTGTTTTTTCTTTATGCATAACTAAACCTGTCCACCATTTCCACATGAATACAATGAATGAATGAATGAATGAATGAATGAATGAATGTCCTGTGAGGTGATTTATTCTTGGAATAAATAAAATGCGCAGACACATGCATAAACTCATTATTAGGGGTCGAAATACAGAAACAGTCCAGTAAATTACAATAATAATGAAAATGACAATAATAGCAAAAACATATTGATTTGAATGTACTTAATCATTCTACCCTGCGACCCAGGAGGGTAAGCGGCAGTGTGTGTGTGTGTGTGTGTGTTTGTATGTGAATTATTCTGCAAATTATTAGACCATCTCTTAATAGGCTTTCAAAGTGCCATAACATCTGGGCAGACTAGGTCAATCAAAAGACCTCCGTTAGATGATCTGATATTTACACAGACTATGCCCAAAAGTATCCAGACATCCCTTCTAATTAGTGAATTCATCTACTTTAAGGTTCACCATTGCAGATGGGATACTAGTGAGCAGCCACACATGCCTATGTCAATGCCAAGCATTTGCTAGAAGGGTATAAAGCCTCCCAGCATTGATCTGTGCAGCAGTGGAACTGTGTTCTTTGAAGTGATTGTGTTCTGTCCAATACCTTTGGGATGGGTTGGGTTGGAGTTTCTTATCCAAAACTGATCATCCAACACCAGTTTCTGACCTCACTAATGCTCTTGTGTCTGAATGCAACCAAACTGAATATATTGTATAAATCATTCCAAGAAGAGTAGACAATCCCTATTAAAGCAGTCGCTGAGCAAATTATCTGCAGTGGTTATTAAAATGGATACATCTTTATCACACAGCAGAGATTAAAATATTACAACAAGTACTGTGAGATAATATACTGCTATACAATGGGTGTATTTAACACTGTCAAGAGGAGTAAATTTCAACAAAACAAAACTGCAATGATGCTGCTGCAACAATAATGCACACATGAAACACAAACTTGAATATTCGTTTAAATAAATGTAAATACAAGCACTCATTTACAATATAGTTGACCTGGTACAACAGCTAGACCTCTACGGTCCTATTTGCATGGTTATAATACAAGCACATAAATAAGAGATATATTTGTATTTAGTGGATGCTGTACTGCAAGATTATTCACACAGTCAGAACAAATCTACGGTAGAAAGTGAAAGTGAAAGAATAGTGGACAATAGTTAAACCTTGTGTGTGTTTTTCACGGCTGCTGAGGGCGACAGTCTGGGTAAGTAACTGCTAATATTGTATTCTTCCAGTGAGTGTGTTCAGGACAGGCCACAGAAGATGTTGCTTATAATGAAGAAGAATTAAGGCTTGTAGGGCTTCATAAAACATGTTTCTGCTCTCGGCATGAGTGGCTCATTCTCAATGTGAAAGTAGTAACACAGCACTGCGACACCCAAAGCTCCATTAGAGGGGAAAAGCTCTCTCTTCTAGCTCAGGAAACAGGAAGCACAGTTATGTTGTCAGCCTGTTGTTTTGGTGCCTACAGTGCTGTCGGAATGTTGAAATATAATTCCTCAGAAAAGTGACAGCTTTATCCGGCAACATTTCTATGAAGTTGTGACTTCATAACTCCCATTATGTTGTGCATAGAACTCTTTAGAACATGGAATGTTGGCGAGTTGCCAATGGGACAGATCAGCGTTGCATCACAATAACAAATCTTACTTCCCGGTGGAAAACGGTAGTGCTGCACTGATACAAAAGGATTTTGTACCAGTCCAAATACTTGTGTAATTGTGTAATTGAACATTTTCAGTGATTGTGTGATGAAACATCTAAATACTATGAGAGTGTCTACCTCTGCATATTCATTATTAAATACCAGCAAACTATGCATTCTTAATGTCGTCATTGTTGATACTGGCAAACCTGTGAGCTACTTAAGCTGTTCTGGTGCTGTTAAATTCTATTTTAAACTGATCTTCCAATGCTGAAAACTTCACCATTAACCTTTAATGTGTCACTTATTCTTGAGGCTGCACCAGCCATTCATTTTCTGTGTCAGCTATAAGTTATATTCAGTTTAGTGCAGTGGAGTGTCATGTTAAAGCAGGGTAGAGCTGTATGGAGCAAATCAAATATGCAGCTCTGCTAAATCAAACACATTTTCATAGATTTTGATGTCATTTGTATTGAAAACCTGCCGAAGTCATAAAAACCTATATTTCATTTACTTTCACTTTTCTTACTGGTGGTCTACACAAGCCAGGGATGCACAAAATCAGCACTGACATTTTTCCCAGCCTGGTCAAATTGAACCTGGATTCATTCATCTGAGTGGTCAGCCTTTGAAATTATGAGATGTAGAATATAAATCCCTGAAGTGTAACACTGACGGACTTTGGAGTGGAGAAGGTCATCATCTGAACTGACAAATCGGCCAGAGAACTTGTAGAGAGAATTACCACTCTGGAATGTCTTCCGGGTTTCTCAAAAGCTAGAGGGCGCTCCTGAGCGAGTCCAAAATGAGGGGGGTAAAATGGAGCATTTGAGCAAAATCACAGTTTATAAATGCTTAAACATTTTTAATGTAAAAGAATACAATTATTTCCTGAACAATGAATAGCTTAAAACATTAACACTGCTGTTTGTATTTTTTAAGACTCAAGTTAAAGGAGTTTAAAACAGTGCCTTATGTACATTCATGATGTCAGTGAGCGCAAACAGCCAATGAGCTGCTCTGCTCGCCAACCAATTAGCAATCAGTAGCAGTAATGCTAGTATTCTGCTGCCCAACACTCATTTGCTGTATGAAAAAGGAACTATATAAGTATGTTTTCTTAGCTTTTTTGAATAAAATGTATCCTTCTACTTTCTAAAATGAAAGGAAAGCTCTGGGCAAGTGATCAAAAACTAACTTTGACTTTTGTTTTTAGCTGTTGAGCTCTTTTTACCCCCCATTCATTGAGGACTCGCTCAAGGGTGCCCTCTGGCATTTTGCTGTAATGTTTTTGATTTATAAAGGAGCAAATTGGAATTGGACAGGCTCCTCATAAACCGGCTCTGTCACAACTTACAAAACGCACTGTTCATTGCAGGTGTGCGTTACTGCATTACGTAGTTCAGCCAATAGAAATCAATCACTAACCACAATCACACTGAAGCATGGTGGAGCTCCAAAACACACCAGTGTTTTTCTCTCTCTCTCTCTCTCTCTCTCTCTCTCTCTCTCTCTCTCTCTGAGACCTTCACATTTCATAAAGGCATATGGACCATATTTCCCCTTAAACATTTGACATTACAGACTCTGTTTGTATTTACCTGTACAAACTTTACTAGCTGCTTCTACTGCTGACTGAATGTGTTATCCACCCAGAAGTGTAACCAACTTTCATGTTTACAAGCATTTTGGTTTTGGTCTATAGAAAGTACATAGAAACTTATATATAAAACTACCAGGTATGTGCAGCAGTGCTTACTTGGAATTTGCTGGTAAATTGGGGGCAGTCGTGGCTGGAGGTTGGGGAACCAGCCCTGTGACTGGAAAGTTGCCGGTTTGATCCCCTTGGCTGACAGTCCATGACTGAAGTGCCCTTGAGCAAGGCACTGTCGAGTTATAATGAATAAATTACTATTATAATTAATAAGAAATCCATAATCATATACTAAAAAGTTGATTGACAAAAGTGTATTAATCCTCTCACTAAGGATAGGCCATGCTGTGTGTAGGTTAGGGGATTTTTGCATTGGAGAGTCCCTGGAGTTCAGAAGCTTCTAGAAGCTAGTGTACTTTGTTGCAAGGACAAGCTGGCCCGTGAGAGGGGAGGTAAGCTGATAGGAAACCAGACAGTATCAGTGTTGGAACCAGTTTAAAAAGACAAAATTGAATTAAAAACCTTGAAAGGATGGGTTCAGCTTAGGATAGCTGAGCATGCAAGTTTTTAAAAAATCAAGGACGTGTGCGGTCGGAAATAAGGGTTTCCAACTGAAGTGTAAGGATGGGAAACAATGGGAACCAAAGTGAAATGAGAAAAGGTGAGAAGGAGGGGCCGATTGCTTCATCGCCCCCAAACAGGGTATAAAAAAATTATGTTTCTGTATTGTACTTTGCATTTCGCTGTCCGGGAGCCATCTTGCCACCTGAAGCTCAATAAATGAAGAGGGCCTTTTCCTTCCTTCCAAAAGAACTCAACAGCTGAAGTCTTTTATTCAACTTTCTTTTATTTTTGACTGAACTTTATTTTATTTTGCGTTTATGATGAGAACAAGCAATCAGATTTATTAAAGAACTGAAATATAGTTATAGAACAGATTAGAGTTTAATTATCCATATGTTGGGGCTCTGAGCGAGCGGGAATCGCACTTAGTCCCGACAGCACCTAACCCCTAATTGCTCCCCAGGTGCTGTGGATAGGGCTGCCCACCACTCCAGGCAAGTGTGCTCACTGCCCCCTAGTGGTTGTGTTCACTAGTGTGCATGTATGTTGGTGTTTCACTGCACGGATGGGTTAAATGCGGAGGTCTAATTCCACAGTGTGCAAACACAGTTGGCTGATGGTTCTGAATATCGTTATTTGTAGTACTCACGAGCAACAATTTGCAAGGTTAATATGTAAGTCAAAAGTACTTAATGTGAAAAGTGCAAGGTATATACAATTTACCATATAATGGTAAGTACTACAAATTGCTTCAGAAAAGTTCTCATACTGTGGTAACAGGTCTGTAAAATAAAGCATAACTACACAGTAACTACCTATTCTCTCATCATCATATGCAGAAATTAAACAGATGCACTACTAGGTGCAAACTGGTATGTCCTCTGTAATATGATGGAAAAAGGACTGTAAAATAAAGTAACTACCTGTTTCTTGTCTTTGTGGTATGCAGTGTATAAGCATAACTCAAAACACCAGTTAATGTGGAATGAGACATGATTCTATAAGAAAAGGTACTGAGAACTCAGTGGTATGTAACCTATAATTTTACCCCTTTGTCACCTGTACCTGTAACCTACTTTTGTCTATCACATAGGCATGTACTGATTGAAGCAGTGTGTAGTATGTGTGACTTATATAAACTTCATAGCATTAAATGCTGAAATAGACCTGAGATTTCTCACATTAGTTTATCTGTACTTGCATATTATGCAGATGGTAATACTAGTAAGTGCATAATTACTACTTGAAATTAAATTCTACATAAATACTGCTGTACATTCCTGGCATGTTCTCCGTATGAAGAAAGTACCTCAAAATTACTTGTAAATACTACATATTTATTTATTGAATACTAGCTACTAAATACTGTAAAATAAAGTTTGACTGTGTTCACATGTAATGGTGGTACATGAAGTTTGAAAAGTCAAACCAGACAGTAGTTTTACAAGCTTAATAAAAGAATGCCTGTGGAAAACTGGTCATACTGTGCAATGGTTTTCCCCAATATGTTAAACTTAGCAAAAATACATATAAAATTAGTTGAGGTTTGTTCTGGGACATGTGTATACATAGAATGGTCTGTGAATTTAGTTCTGCAGTATCAACTGCAGTCCCACAGTAAAATTAAAAAAAAAAAAAATGTATGTAACATTTAGATATTTATAAGATTAATGATATGCTCTATATAAACTCAGTGCATGAATTGAAAAATTGTTTTTGCTTTTTTAATATTTTTGCAATACCGTTTTTAATTTCTTTTAAAGTCAAGTTGAAAGTTTAGATTCATGAATTTAATTTTTAACTTAGAACAAAACTTTTAAAAAAATGCTGTCCCATATTTTCATGTCACTACTGAAACACAATTTTAGTCCATAGGTGGGGTCTTATTTTAGCCACACCCCTGCCTTTTAGAGCACGTGAGACTGCATCCCTGTCCCTCATGGCCACATGGTGAGCAGTTAGATCTTACTGTTTTGAAGTAAATGTGTCCCAAAAACTGAACATCATTGTGGGTAACTGTAAGAATTGTCACATTTTCTGCTATTAAATAGACCTTTGTTTTAATATACACTATGATTTTATGTACAACTGTCCAAGGTTGTTTTTTATATTATGCTTTATTATGCATACCATGAATATATTCATGTTATAGAGAGGACAAAGGAACACCATGGCCGATCCTCCCAAGGGTAAGCTTGAATTAATTTAAGAAATACCACTTACAAGCAATTACTCTTCCTTCCTGTTGTCTCCTTGTGCCTAATGATGTAGATATTTAAACATAATATCCTATTGCTTTATAATGGGAAGTGTCTGAATGTTTAGTTTTGAGGTTTTACATGCTGTCATCAGTCCTTTTCCTTCCATGCAGTGACTGAAGAGCTAAGGATGGTGCTTCTGGGTCGGACTGATGTTGGAAAGAGTGCAACAGCCAATGGAATATTAGGAAGTGAGATTTTCAAAGAGACTGAAACTATGAAATGTGAGATAGCGAGAGGGACAGTGGCCGGCAGAAACATTTCAGTGATCGACACTCCAGGAATGAACAATACATCACTGTCTACAGAAGAACTGAAGAGTGAAATGAAGAGATGTGTCTCTCTGTCTTTTCCTGGACCTCATGTATTCCTGCTGGTGATCAGACTGGAGATGTTCACTGAGGAAGAGAAGAACGCTATGAAGTGGATTCAGCAACACTTTGGAAAAGGAGCTCTGAAGTTCACTATGGTGCTCTTCACTGGAAGAGAAAAAATAACAAAGGACAAATGGTTGAAATTTTCACAGGGTGAACAGATCTGTGATTTTTTGAGTAACTTTGGAGCTGGGCATTTTGCAATAAACAGAAAGGAAGAAATAAATCCTTCTCAGATCACTAAGCTGGTGGACAAGATCCAGAGCACTGTTCAGCAAAACATGGGTCAGTACTACACTCACGAAATGGAAGAAGCTGCCCAGAGAAAGAAAATAATAGAAAATGAGATGAAAGAGAAAGAGAAGAAAAGTGAAGAGGTGGAAAAATTAGAGACACAGGAAAGAGGGAGACAAAAACAGCCAGAAAGATTGGAGGTAAAAAGAGTGGCTGTGGAGGACGAGAGCAGACCAAACAAAGATGAATCAGGAAAAGAAGAAGCATATAAACATGTGCTAGACGATAGAGCTCTAAGCAAAGGAGAGAATCTGGAAACTGTAAAGAGGGGACAAACTGTGGACATCATATCACAGGATGAAGCAATAAGGACTGAGGATTACAAGGGGGGGAAACAACTAGAGAAAGACAGAGGCAGAAGGACACAGAGGAAACTGGTTAAGCACATATATGAGAGAAGAATGTTGGAGGCCAAATATATTCAATCCATGAAAAATTTTAAACGAAAAGAGAAGAATCTGAGGGAAAAGACAAAGAAACAAAGCAAGAAGACAAGAGCTGCAGAAGGAATTACATCTGATTCAGGTATGTTTAGTACTTTTTTGAAAGATCATTTTTGTTGGATAGCAGGATGGTTGTCAAGAGAGTACACATCTTAGACTACTGATATTTTAGTAAATCTCTCACACCAGTCATATTGCTTATACAAAACAGGCTAAAACAGAGAGTGACTGTAAGTGAAAATGCACCGTGTGCATGCTGAGCTGTTCCTGTTGCTTCACTACCTTTTATTTGTCAGCATTATGATTATTAATTAATTATCTACACTAAGGTTTGCACATGTGTAATTCCTGTTAATGTTATTGATTTTGTTTTTTTGTGTTTTTAATGTTGACATTAACAGCATTAGGTATCATGAGATTATAATAACTCAGAGCAAATAGTTTTGTGTGCGAAACCTGCAATTTTTATGTGGTGCTATCGCTGAGAGGCTATAGCCTACATACAATGTTTGACCTAAGGCCAAAAAACATGAAGGCAAGCAGTGATTTTCTCCAAAGTTTCAAAAATATTTTACTATTACATCAAACTACCAACAAACCAACAAAATACATGTTTATTCATGTCTAGTTTAACCAAAATATTTCCTAATGTTTTTTATTGGTTTGCACTGATGATGTACTTTACTTTGTGCTCTTTAGTGTTTTGTTTGTTCTTTTGCTCTAAAAGTCTCTTACATTGACCAGTTTTCAATCTTTGTTTCAGTTCATTGCTGGAGCCAAAATACTTGTTTTAATGTTCTGTTTGAAATACCTTTTTAAAATGAATTTGTATTCTAGTATCTTAAGTAGCTGCAAATGAGCCTTTATGATTTGATGATTTGATGTCTTGTTTATTTGAAATACATTTTGTGTGAGTGCTGTCTATTGTACCACATATGTACAGTGTTTAATGCAAAGTCAGTACCGTTCATTCAGTTCATGCATATATTTTTAACAAATACAATTTTAGCCATTTTCATACATTGCAAACATTTTTTATATATATATATATTTTTTTTTATACATATAATATAATTTTTTTTTTTTGCATTGGCATTTCCCAGTCAATTTAATAATTTTCATTCCCAGAGTTTGTTCCTGCATCAGAACTCGGGCTGGGGAGGACTGGATGTGGAAAGAGAGCAGCAGGAAACACCATCCTGGGCAGAGAGGAGAGGAGCCAAGCTGGAGCGTCTACAGTGAGGCAGCAGAGTGAGAGCAGACAGGGGGAGGTGGCCTCGGATGCACAAGGTCCTGACTGCTTCTATCCTGGACTCTGTGTTGACAAGGTGAGAAGGACATTGAGCTTATAGCCAGTCTGTGCACTCCAGGACCCTGTGCTTCCCTCCTAGTCACACCAGTCTACAGGAGAGGAGAGTGTTACTAGAGTTAATAACAAGGGTGGGAGAGCTGCTGGCCTGTATCACAGAACAAATCTTTTGAGGGAATTCTCCACAGCTCTCTTAGCTACACCTTAGCTCTAAATCTGAGTTTCATAAAGTTTAATGTATTACTAAACACAGGAAGAGAGGGAGAGAAAAGCTGAAGGAGACTGACAGCAGGGTTGGGAGAGATACTGAAAAATTTGTAGTTAGCTACTTTGTAGCTACTTTCCCAAAATTTTTAGCTAGTTACAATTTAGCTATTTTTCCAGAAAAAGGAGTGGCTACAACTCGCAAAGCTGAAGTCAGTTTCTCATTTTCCTGCTTCTCGTTCGAATTCTCCTGTCCCACCATTCCACCTGGAACAGGACAATTCAAACAGAAAGCTGACGAATGAGAAACTGACTTCTGCCTCGTAAAAAGTCGAACACTGAAAGACGTTTTACAAGAAACACGCGGAAAAGGTTCATAACTGAGGTCGAAGGAAAGCAACTACAGCTGACCTAAAGATTACTTGAATAAACATACAAAAGTACTTGTTTGAGAAAATCCTAAGCATCAAAAGTGAAAATATTGTGAGTTATTGAAGATATTGTGTAATAGGACTATTATTTTGATGAACAAGTTCTACTAATGAGATCTAGGAGTGTGGAATACCACTATATAAGAATACCTTTGTCTATAATGGTATTTTCATGTGCTGAAAGCATTCTAAAATAAAATGATCCAAAAGTGCCCCCGCAACCTGTCTTCCTGAAAACAACCCTGAATTCTCATGAGGATGTCAAGAAACGTCTTCACAATGAAGTATCAGGTTTGTGGGAGGTGTCTGAAAAGGAGGAGTATGATATGATTCTGCTCTTCTGTCCTATTGTTTCACATGCTGGAACCGACATTGAATCGGCCCTGCAAGAACTTCACAAGATTTCAGGTAGTCTAAAATCTTTTCTTTTCTTAATTAACTCATTAATTTATTTGTTTTAACCAGAGCCAGTATTCGGGATCTGCACCAGCTTATTACTGTTGTCATTAAATTTACAATTCAAGCCTAGTATTGCAAACACAATGTGATGTATTACAGGTAGTGGTGAAGCCTAAAATCCTACCCACCCATTAGCCCACTAAAAAACCCTATCCACCCACTAGCTCCCCACCCAAAACCCTACCCACCAACTATTCCCCCCAAATCCCTACCCACCCTCTAGCCCCTCCATAACCCTTCCTACCCACAAGTGCCACCTCCCTCCCCCTTAAAAAATACCTATCCACAAGCGCTTAAAAACCCACAGACACACACCTTGATGTGGGTGACACTTATATTTGTATTTTTGACATTTTCACAGAGAAAGTGTGGAAAGAAGAATTAGCTCTCAGAGTACTGGAAAAGTTTAGTCATTTCTGTATGATTTGACCTCTGTCTTTTCTTTTCTGCTCTTTTCTGCTCATTTTTGCCAAAGGCAATTCTAGCAGACACTAATTGTATTATTATTATTATACCTTTTATTTAACCAGGGTAATCACACTGAAATTTAAAATCTCTTTTACAAGTGAGCCCTGGCCAAGAAGGCAGCACACAAAACAATCAACAATGAACCACCACAACCAACAACATCCAATCAGAGTCAAAACCAAATGAAAAACAAGGATAAACTGAATGATACAGTTCTTTAATAATTATCTTAAAATCACTTATGGAAACAAATTGCTCCAATTTCAAATGCTTTTGCAGATCATTCCACACAGATGGAGCACTGTAACTAAAAGCTGCCTTGCCATATTCAGACCGTACATCCAGCTGAATATAACTATTAGAACGTAAATTGTACCAAGACTTATTTGTTGATATGAATGCAAAGAAATATGAAAGAAGCTGACCAATAATTGCTTCACAGACAAGAATTATCCAATGAATGTCTTTTGCACTAAAAGTGAAGGCTAACCAACCATTTCATGAAGTTCACAGTGATGAGTTGAATATCTACATCTACAGTACGAGTGCATTTCTGATTTCTTTACAGAGTCGAAGCCTGCTGTTCTAGTGGTGCTTCATCACACGTTTGACCCAGAGCTCATTGTTCCAGACAGCAGCAGATCAGTAAACAGAGAGGAAACACTCACAGTGGACTGTCTGTTCCATGAAGATAAAGGACTGCTGCAGTGCCCCAAGAATGATAAAGCAATAGAGAATATTAAAATGTGGATGAAACCTAAGGTATTTTTATACAAAGAAAAAAAAAAATGCACTACAACACTGAAAACGGACATCTGAGATGTGGAGTAATGTTTTAGGGACTGATGAGTCTAATTTTATATTCGAGATTATTTGAATCCTGAGAAAAAAAAAGGCAACAAATTTCTAAGACTGAACTTTGGAGGTGTGGAAAAATATCCCTGCAGATTTCTTTAAAAAACTGAAAAGTCTTCTGAAAACAGTTGAAGCTGTAACAAAGGTACATAGTGGACATAGTAAATGCTAAAAAAAAATCTAATGTTATATTTAGTGATATTTAGTTCTTTGTAATTGTCTGTTAAATATGTTTCCTACTTTTCTCCTGATGCTGCCAATTTGACTGGAAATGAACTAAATGAAAGGGTGCTCTCCGACTTTTGCACAAAACTGTATAAATAATTTAATGAAACCGTTCCACACATAATAAAATCACATAATTTGTGAGCAGAATAACTCAGCTGAACACCTACAAGTTTGCTAAGGAGTCAATCAGTGATGATGCGGAGCATATGAAACATCTGACAAATGTTCTAGTAGTGGTGGCCAATATGTCAAAGAGAAAAAAATAGTCATGATTTGTGATACATATCACAGTATTTCTGAGATTTGATACAATGGAATGGACAAAATATATGAGCAAAACAGCCCCATTAAAATATTATACATAAAATTCTATATCTTTTCATAACCTAATGTTCTGAAACTGAACACTAAAAAGCCTGCAGAGAAGACTTGAGTCAATACAACTTAAATTCTATAATTCTTCATTAAATTAAAAATTAAAGTGTTGCTGATGGAATTTAACAATCCATGCAATGGCTGGAGTGCCGTGAGATGTCATGAGCCTCATGCTAAACCTTCTTCTAACATAATATTCATAACCTTTTCAAAACAAAAAAAAAAGTATGTTTTACTGTATTCATGTTTATTTGCTTTTATTCTACTGTTATGTAGTGTTTTACATGCAGAAACACTGCTGAGATACTTCATTTCAAACTGTTTTCTTAGCTCACCTTTGAACAGTACTGTAAAGCTCTAATTGGACTTAAGCTTTGTTCCATTTGTTCAGGTACATAGAGAAGCACTGGTCCCTAATTTGCCAGGTGAGGGAAAAAATGTACACTTTTTGGCAAACAGTCATTCAGCTTCATCACAGGTATGTCGCCAAAGTAATTACATACAGAATCAAAGCACTGTTTCATTTAATTACCTTCTTCCATGTCATAACTTTCAAAATACGGTATCTGCAGGGCAATAATTTAGACCAGGACAGGTCTAAAGTTTAGAAATCCTTTCATGTTTATAATGTGTATATCAATACAATGTTTTTGATACTGTTATGAAATGTATACTTGAGATCAATATTCTCCAAAGTAATCATAAAATTGCAGATGTATCAAGGTGGGATTTATGCCCTTAAATTATATTACACTTATTTGGATTCAGAATTCACTTAAAGACAGGTTTACACTATACAATGCTGGTGTAGACAGTAATCACAGACTTTGGCCAAGATTTCAGTGTGAAATGCAACAAACATATAAGATCACTGTGACAGCTCCTAATGTAGAAGCAGTCCTTGGGTTTGATTAATACTGGCCCATACTTTGCCTCTGTGGCCTCTGTTATATATAACCTGCACGTTTTGTATCTGGCCACTATACACCTATTCTTTCTCAAATCAGTCACAGTTTTTAGGGCAATGCTGGGCAGATCTGCATAGAAATTACTACAGCAGTCTTAACTACTGAAAAGTATTAATAAAATGGTTCAGCATTGCCCACGTACCCTTATGTTCACAGCTTTTATGTCTATTAAACATAGAACAATGATTAAGGAAAACATCCAATCCAATATGTTAACAGGCAAGTGCTTCATCCAGAGCCCAGGCGAAATTCAACAGCAACTAAAGGAGAACTAACAGATGATATTTATGGTAAGTATGAGATCCATAAAGTGGCAGAAATGTGGTACTTGACATAGCTAGCTGTCAAGTAAGTCTGGGCGTAATCTGTTTAATCTATTTAGATACAAAAGTCTGTAAAAGGCTAAAGCAGGAGAACGCAAATGAATTGATGAATGTTGGATGAAGGGCAGTGCTGTTTAGGGGCCATATGTTCTAACTACTCTCAGAAGCACCAGACTTTACAACCTAGAGAATTCATTAGTGAAATTACATGTTGTGCAAAGTTAGAATCAATACATATAGATACATGTGAAATATTCTTGCAGGGCCTAAGAAGATTGCAAAAAGAGAATACTTGCTGCAGCATTACTACTTGGGGGGAGTGGGGGTTGCAATTGCACTAGGGCTAAAAACATATCTCACCAGTTAGCTTCCATCAACACTACACAGACAGCTCTACTTCTTATTCATAATGCAGCTCATCCATGGTAACCATTTCCAAATAGCTTATTCACAACATGTAACATACAGTATATTCATCAAGTATAATTTGAAAATCTTTTAAAAGATTTAAATAATTACATTTACACAATACATCAATGTATTTATATGATCAAAATATGCATGTTGCACAGCGAGTGTTCTTGAGAATATATTTAACATTATTTGGCTGGTGGCTTGTGAGACAGTTAATTATGACAGTTCAAAATGTTTTCAAGAACTTTGCTACTCATGAAACAGTCAAGAATCTTCCAGGATGTGGTGGAAAGAGGAAAATTGATAGTTTGAAATGTGGCAAAAAAGAGCAACTGAACTTTGCTAAAAGTTACATAGTCAAAAATAGGAAAATGTTCTATGGACAGATAAAACCAACCTAGAGCTCTTTGGCAATGCATACCAGTGTTATGTTTACAGACAACGAAATGAAGCCTATAAAGAAAAGTGCACCCTACCTACAGTGAAACATGGTGGAGAATCTTTAATGTTATGGGGCAGCTTTGATTTAACTTGTGTTAAAGGATTGTTTTTCACAGAAAATAAAAGAATGAATGGTGGTCTCTTGCACAGCGCTATATCTTATCATATCGTTAAAAGATCTGATCTGTGAAGTACCCTCCTCACAGTCATTTTACACAGGCTCAATCTATCGAGTAAATATTTTTATTTATCTATTTTTTTTTCAGGAAAGAAATATAATTCTGATTCCATCAATGATGAAAAGAAGAAAATGAACGCACTGGAAAAAACATTTCAAGAAGAAAAAAACAAGCTTATAAATATGAGTAAGTATATGATTTACAAAACTTATCTTAGTTACTCTTCCTAGTTACGGTTCTGATGCTCCCTATTGATGAATTTCCACCAGATTTTTTATCCACTATCTCAACATGATACTGATTTGCTGCATGTTAAATCTGACGACAAATTCAGCAAATAAACAGAAACTGTGGTTGGGGGTGACAGTTTCATACCTTTTATTTCTGATGGTGTATAATATTACTGTAAACAAACATTACAGTATTAGTTATGTACTGTATAACTAAGTTTTCAGAGTAATTTGTTTTACAAATGGAAGGCTGGAGATCATAGACAGCATAGAATTTATTGAGACATCAGCATCAACAAAATTTTTAAATAAGTCTATTTGTTGTTTGTGCTCCAGGTTTCCCAGAGGTTGTTTTTGCAACTAAACTGAGGCTGGTGCTGGTGGGGAGGACTGGGTCTGCAGCAAGAAACATCATTCTGGGCAGGGAGGAGAGCAGCCAGGCTAGAGCGTCTACAGTGAGTCAGCAGAGTGAGAGCAGACAGGGGGAGGCGTCTGGGAGGCTGGTGACTGTGGTGGAAACTCCTGAGGAGCTGAGAGAAAAAGTGGATCTTTTTGCCCAAGAGCCGCACGCCTTCCTCCTAGTCATACCAGTGAAGCAGTCTACAGGAGAGGAAGAAGGGATGCTGGAGAAAATGGAGGAGATCTTTGGAGAGAGATGTTGGAGGAACACCATGATCCTTTTCACCGTTACTGATGAAGTCCAAGAGAAGAACATTGAAGAGTTTATCCAGTCAGGAAACCAGGAGGTCCAGAGACTTGTAGAGAAATGTGGGAACAGGTTTCACTATCTCAGCATTAAGGAGAGTGGAGATGGTTCTCAGGTCTCAGAGCTGCTGGAGAAGGTAGAGAAGATGGTGGAAGGAAACATCAGTAAAAAAGAGATTTTTCAGATGTTTAGAGATATGGAAGAGGAACGAGAGGCGAGAGTTCCAACAATAAGAGAAGAGATTCAGGAAATACAAAAAACCCTCACAAAGAATGATGAACATATTAAAGATTTTGATGCTGATATGTTAAAACTAGAAGAAAGACATGGAGAAAATGTTCAGGAAAATAAGAATCTGGTTACCATGCTAAAAATGAGAAGTGAGTCTAAGAAGAATATCCTGGAGCAAATCAGAAAATTGTATGAGAGAGCAGCTGGAATGGAGGAGGACAGAAAGTTCATTAAGGTCATGTTGCCAGAATATCAGCAGGCTGTATGGCTTTCAGTGCCAAGTGGGCAGGTTGAGCTCAGAAAGCAGATGCATGATGAGGTAAAGAAACTTCATGAAACATTCTTGAAGGACTTTAAGACTTTAGAGCAGATATAGATTAAAGATGGTCAAACTGTAATGCCTGTAACTGAAAGTTTATGGTTATGGTATAATCACGGAATAAACAACTGTTAAAGTTAACACTGTGCTTCCAAATTTTGTGTTTTAAACACTCTCTTACACTTAAATGTATGACAGTAACATGTTTGTAGGACATGCTTGCAGAAATGTTTTGATTTATCCAGCTTTAGGGACTAAAGGGTTGCCACTAACTTTGGTAGTGTTGGGGTAAAGCGGTACAAAGTAGCATGCTACAGTAATGTTACAGCTACTGATTTAAAGGGGAATTCTACCATTTTTTTTTTTAAGATTTCTTCAAAATTCAGTGGTTGAGATGTAAACAATTTTAATCAGAGTGGCGTGATGTGAAATGGTTGATCTGTAGAGAAACTTGTAGACAGATTTCTTTACAGTGGTGGTGATAGGAACCAGGATTAACAATGTCTACAGCACAAATGTAGCCCTTATATTTACTATCCAAAATGACCAGTGAACCTACATGTGTCTTGAGTTTTTATATGTAATGGTGATAATGGTAAAATAGTGAAAAGTTAATGTGCTTTTAAAAAACATAAAAAATATATTGTTGGTCAACATTCTATCTCAAAACTATCGTAAAACAATGCCTCAGGCAATGTGTTCATAACCATTTGATGCAAAACCTTACTGTAAGGGAGCTTTTAGAGGCGTTAAACTCTTCAGACTTCTGGTTTCTGTTACCATCACTGTAAACAATTCTCACTCAGTAAGGTAAGGAAAGATAACTTGGTATAGTAAGGTAATGGAGCATTTTACACCAAAGCACTCTGAATGACTCTTTTCACATTAACTATTTAATTATGCAGACGTTTTAAAAAATCGATGGAATTTTCTTTAACAACAGTTTTGTTACTTGGGTTAGTAATGTCTACAACAGAGCAATGTTGATTGACAGATGCATTTAAATGCATAAAATTCCTCTGTCTAGACAATCCGTACCTATGCTTGTATGTAATTTGCATACGTGTGCTACCTGTGAAAGCTGACTATTCAACTTTGTGAATATGTGCAAAGCAGCCTAAGTACCATAAACTCAGCAAGCAATCTGCTGAAATTTGTAATCCTGTTAACATAAAACTGATGGATAAAGATCCCTGTGCTGAAGAAAAGAGAGTTCCAAACCCACCTAACAAGTTTTACTTCCCATTCATATATTTTATTTCAAGACTGTTTTAAAGCTCTTTCTACTGACTAGCTCATAATTTTAATCAAGCATTTAATTAATGTTTACTGTAATTCACTATTTCTTTCTAAATAAAGTACTGAACTTGACTACTGATTTTTTCCACGAACAGGTGTTATAGATGTGTGAACGTTTTGCAGAGTAACATAGAAGTAATGAGTAGTGAAATGACTCTTTCCTGGAAGTTATAAGTAAAGTGTTCCTATTACAGTGTAACAAAAGTAATTAGTCATTTTTATTTGAGTATTTTTTTCAGGAACCATCCTGACACTTTAGCAAGTGTGTATCATTAAATATGTTTACCTTTTGTCATTCACATTGTCATTCCCAGACTCATTTGCTTATTTTCTGCTCATGTACTGTTTAACCACATACTCACCAAACAGAACTAATGCAGATTTCATATCAGTGTTGGTTGGAAAGCAAGTTGCAACCATCACTGGAATGAAGTATTCTGAGTCAGTGCTATAAATGATGTAGAATAACTTAGGGAAAGAAGCCCCCCCAGGGTAAGATACCCCTCCACCTTATTTTCCTCCTGATCAAAAGATGGTGACAAATCCAAAATGAGCATGTTACTGAATACCTATGGTCTAATTCATTGTCAAATTTCACCTTAATCGCTGTAAGAGATCTATTCTCCCAGAAAACTTTTGGGGTCAGTTGCTCTATAATCTATAATGTATGCATTTCTACTAAGTTATTAATTTGTTAAAATATATGACTGTTGAGGGTTGTGGAGAGACCAGTACATTCAGTTTGGAGAACAAAAAAAAGATCGATGTGAATGTTAAAGTTTTGGAGTAAGTCCTCCTGACACGGGCAAGATAAGAAACATAACCAACTCAAATGAAGGTTATTTTTTCCCATCATCAATGTTAGATGACAAAATACCACCATAATTTACCAATGATTTAATGTACTTCTGCTCTCTGAGTAGTACCTAGCGGAGGATCTCTGATGTATACATGCACTGTGTGTAATACCCCTGGTATTTGGGGGTCTCATGTTGGCTGGCTACTTCAGCTTTGGCTGGCTCACTCAACATTGCAGTAGTGATGCTAGCTTAAATGGCAAATGTTTTTTCTTCAATTGGAAACGCTCTTCTCTAGTTTGGTAATAGTCTTCCTTACATTAATTGAGATCTTACACATCTCTTCTTTTGTCTTCGGTTTGAGAAATGAGTAACAACTCATTCTTTTAGAATGAATTTTTAAGATTTACAGATATGCTGCAGCATATTGTAAACTTTTCAGCGGTACCCCAGGCATAGTACAAGTTGCTTGACTATGAAAGATCACCTGGGTAAACCAGTTTGCTACAGTGCCACCCTGAGGCAGAACAGTGCTGCATCACTAGTTATTTAAGAATATCAAAGACAAAAGTTCACCTACAGAGGGTGAAGCAGGCTGAACAATGACCTTTCCCTGAATTTGTATTTCATCATCTATTTTTCCCTTATGGACAGCATAACATCAAAATAAGTTTATTCTTAAGTTTGTTATTTGGTTTGTTACACCTTCAACTCTCTTTTGCAACCTAATTTGCTCCTTTCTAAACAGGAACATTACCTCAAGCCCTCAGAAATGAAGACTGATGAGAACGTGCCTGGTCCTGATTCCCAATTACAAACATGGCTTTCTGATGAAAGCAAGGCAACTATGAGGAATAACTTAAAGCTGTTTAAAGACTTGATGTTTTTTAACCACCACCAAACTACAAAATTTGTTGTTGTCCGCAGAAAAGTGGAATCATGTCCAGGTTCTTGCATTCTGTTGTATGAAAATGGGTCTGTTGAAGCTGTACATTTTGTTCTTCCACCAAAACCAGCCAGCCCGGTTATTCATGAAGTCCAACAAGAGTCTGTAGTGTTCAGGCTGGGCCAATCCTGCTTTACCACAGAGGAGTGTGTGTTAAAATACAGGATGACAGAATCTGAAGATTGGCAATTTCACACGGTGAAATAAGGCCAATACACAGTCACGCTGTCTGATCTTCAGCCCAATACACTTTATGAGATCAAATGTGCTGCAGTGGGGAAACTAGGATACACAGAGTGAAGCCCTTATTGTTAAAAAAAAAAAACTGTACTTTGTGTTGATCTTATTTCCTTTTCCTTTTTTTTTTAGATTGTAAATTTGTGTCCAAATCTTCTTCTGTTAGTTGTAGTGCAGTCTAACCAGGCTAAAGTTTTTGCAGGATTTTGTGACATTTTTGTAGTACCACACAGGTGATGACAGTTTATGACACTAAAACAAACAAGACTGACCAAAAAGTGAAGTGTTCACATTTTTGCAGAAAAAGATAAACAGAAATCTGACTGCTGTTTAACTGACCTGATATATGGCTTCATATACATATATTCACCTGTTATCAGGAATGGCCTATTTACAGACACCTCAGTGTACTCAGTACACTGCTTCCCCCTAGTGGCTGGGAAATGTCCAGTACAACCACACCATTTAAAGACGAGAGGGTGGATGCATCAGTTTGTCATAGTGTTACCAAGACTATCAATGGTGAGATCAGACTGGTCATAGTACATTTCATTTACACAGTCACCCAGTATCTCAAGAGTTTGGAGAAGAGAGTGAAATTTTAAACATTTGCTCCAAGGTACATGACTAAGTTAGCTAGTTCGCTGAAAGGACAGTCTAATCACTGAGTGAATCCGATAACTGCAGAAAATCAGATTTCAGTAATCCGATCAACGTGTTTAAATGCACTTGGGGAAATGGGGAAACTCTGGGTCTACATGAGTTGGGCAGTTGTCAGATTTCTACTTTGCAACCAGCCAATAAACTCACAGAAGAACACGTGACGTAAACATAACTTAAAACTCAAACTTTTTTTTTTTCATGCCACTTTACCTGAAAATATGAACGTAGATCATCTAGAAGATGAAGAATATTTAAATCCTTTATTTCATGGGTTGGTTTCAGCGCCTCTCCAAAAGTGTTTTGCTGCCATCTGGCGACATCCACAGTCTGTTCTCACGCATGCGCAGACTGAGAAATCCGATAAAAATCAGAGTAAGAGTTTACATGCACTGAGAAATCTGATTACTGAGCTAAAATCCAGCTCTCTTTATCAGATTTTTAAATCAGATTTCTAGATCGGAGTATGGTGTTTACATGACCATTTAAATAATCGGATAACTGCAGAGATTTTATGATCGGATTATTGAGTGCATGTATACACACTCACTGTTGCTTGCTAGCTCAGCTTTCACTTTTTTAACAAGACCAAGTAGGGCATTCACACTAAATGTTATCCTTACAGTGCATAGAATTGTACATTTACCCATCTTGTAATGCAGAAACGGTTCTCTTTGGATTTGATGAGGCATCTTGTATTTTGACCGTGACTTGTATACTTTGGCCACTATTCTGGGCTGCAGAGAGATCACAGTGATCTCAATGTATGTAGCCTTCAAATACATACTGGAGATGTTTTAACGACTTTTTTTCTGACCTATTGCTCAGACATATTACTAAGATCAATTTTCTCCTGCACCAGAGAACTGTACTTCAGTTAGCCATCAGTGCAGTACCAACAACATCAGTTTTACAGTTTTGATAATAATTTTTCATTTTAATTTTACTCTTTAGGTATAAATAAGTAATCACTATTACATACAGATAAGAGTACTGCAATGTAAACTAGAATGGTATGTTGATGTGTTGCTATTTTTAGAATAATTACTTTGTGTTTGACACAAGCTAGTTAGGAACCTAACGCTATTAGCATTTATGTTAGCTTGAACAGAACTGGA